CAAGCCTGAATATGACAGATAAGCTTCATTCTTTTTCAAATATCAAATCTTTTAATAATAATATCTCTGTCAATTCTGCAACTGAGAGAACTGAGTTTGTCAAGAAGATTAAAACTGTCATCTTAAAGATTGAGAGTGATAATGTTAACTTATAGAATGTTCATTATATTTCTAATATTACAGTTAACCTGCTCTCATTTACAAAGCTTGAAGATCAGGGATTTCAATTTACATTATCTTTCACTATTTCCTCATTTTTCATTTGCAGAGCCTTGAACAGTGTTATTTTTCATATAGTTTAAACTGCTCAGAATAACATATATAAGATCAATGAATAAGAGTTCAATGAGAATTTCAATCATTCAAACAAGACAGTCAAGTATATTGCAATGTCTCATAAGTATAATTTTAATTGAAAAGTTGATCTTTCTGTGACTGCTACTACTACTATTAATAATATTGATTCTGCAGACATGAAAACACAGATATCAAAGATATCAAAGACTCTTTTGAATTGATACTGTAATCTCAGTCACATTCACACTGATGCTATAATTGCTATGATCAAGAATTCTCATACTGAAGTCACAATTAAAGATTCTAAGACTAAGTTCTTTTGCAAGAAATGTGTCAAGACAGGTATGACACAAGATTATTCAAAAACATCAATGCCTAGATCTATTCAACTCATTGAGAAGATTCATATTAATCTTGTAGATGACAGATATACATTGAAAGATCTCTCTAATTATTTCTTAAAGTCTCATCAGAGAATCAGATACTGAATACTTATCATCTGTAACACAACTCACTATCATTGAGTATATTTTTTAAAGTTCAAGAATGAGGCTGTTCAATACTTTGAGTTATGACTTAGATTCATGAGTAATCTCAGATATACAGTTCCTGCTTTTCTACAGACTGATATTGATAATGTTTTTCAATTCACACATATGCACACAGTTATGAATTCATATGATATAAAATGAGAATCAACAGCATCACATTCATCACATCAGAATGATATTTCTGAACACAGAATCTGCACTATCATGAAACAGATTAGAGCTGCTCTTTTGAAAGAAAATCTCTCTAAGAAGTTCTGAGCAGATGTTCTAGAGACAGTGATTATAATAATCAATAATACTCTCATATCTACAGTTCTTTATAACTTGAAATTTTGACTCTCTACTGCAGAGACTTCTGTGATTCCAAGTTCATATAAGATTTCTTGATATGCACTTATGAATATCTCACTGAATATGAGGCATTTTTACTGATTAAGTGCAGAGGTTTTTATTCACTTGTATGAATCTCAGCAGCCCGCGGATAAGCTTTCTTCACATGTCAATTTCTATCATATCATTGAATTCAGTGACACATCAATATATCATCTATAATATTTCAAATCTGATAAGATTATTGTCAGTAGTAATGTGAGGTTTCTGATCACTGAAAAACTGATCATTATATCTATGAAACTCATTAATCATGTTGTTAAATCAGTTGTCACATCTGTGACACTCATTAATAATGCTAATAAACTGAAATCTGATATTCATCTGATTAATGATGAAGACACTTCCGATATTAATGATCCGAATTTCACATGATTGCAGCTCATGAAATCACTGACTACTTACACTTCAAGCCTTATTACAGGCAATCTCCCGAAGTTCTACAAGAATGCCACATCTCAGTCAGAGAGAATAGAAGATTATTGAAAGAAGTTCATACAACACAAGATTACTGATCTGAAGAGACATAATATATGAAGTTTAATTTCTAGATCTGATGTTTCAAGAAGTGAACTGATTGCTTCAGACTGTTGAGTGTTTCTTGAGAAAGATAGATCTGTGAATCTGAATACTGATTCTGATGATATTCTTAGAAAATCACATTAAGTGATTTGTAATAACTGACTTAAGAAGAATTTTAGAGAAGAGATTTATACTTCTATCATCACTGATACTATTAATTATATTCTTTTTATAATAGCAGTACTACATGATTGAACACTCTGTTAAGTGAATATAGTGATAATATATCTGTATAAGCATCTTACTAAGAAGGTCTATATGAGACAATTTATCAGATTTAAGACAGATTCACTGAAAACACTTATCTATATAATTGAGAATAGTCTATATAATCTGAATTCTGTAATGAAAATCTGATATGATTACTTAACAGCTCTGTTAAGTAATCTTGAATTTACAGTCAGTATTTATAATCTGATACTCTGATATCATACATTCAGATGTCATCTTTATATAATAATCTATATTAATAATCTCAATATCATATCTGAAGCTTCTGAGAATGTTAATTAACTAGTGAGTATACTTAGTGAGAAATTGAAAGTCAAGAATCTACATCAGTTAACTAAGTATTTAAGTATGAAGATCAATTATTCAGATAAGAGAATTAATTTAATATATTCTCAATATATTAAATATCTTGTTAAAGATTTCTATCTTAATAATACAGCTATTATCAGAATATTAATGAAGAATAAATTCTGTATTGATAATTTCTCTATATCTGAGAAAGAGACTGATTTCATAATTCAGTGATATTAATATAATGTGAGTTGTTTGTAATATCTTGCAGTTAAAATATATTCTGATATTACTCATACTGTCTCACTACTTACTTAATAGAACATTAATTCAACATCTCAATATTGAAAGACTCTATTATATATTATACATTATTTGAAAGAGATCATGAATCTGAGTATTTTCTACAGATATGACTTGTATGAGAGATTCATTTCTACTAATCTTTTCATTATCTCTGATTTCTCTGATGATTTCTATCTACTCTTCAGCTACTCAGATTCTGATTGAACTGACTTCTTGAATGATAATAGAAAATTAATATCTAGCTATGTTTTTAAGCTCACAGACAGTCTGATTTCATGACATTTAGTAAAGCAATCTTGTATATCTCTGAGTTTCAATGAGACTGAATATATGACTCTTAGTAAGATAATCTGTGAAGTAATATAAATTCAGAATCTTATAATTGAGCTTGACTTTATCACTACATCTCTGATATGAATTCTCATCAATAATAAGAATATCATAGATCTCATAAAGATGACAGTTATTACAGTCTGAAACAAGCACATTGACACACATTTTCATTTTTCATATTAACAGTTGAATCAGAGAGTTATTGATTTAGAATATATTCTCACTGCTCAGATAACAGTGAATGAACTCACTAAATCTCTAAATACTGTGACATTTATGTGATTCATGATTTTGCTAGATCTTACAGGTGTAAAAGTTGGGAATGTTTAATTTTACATTTGTATTTGGTTTTGACAGACTATCTTGATGATTTGGGTGTTTTTGTATGTGATTCTTGTTATCTCAAGAGAGGGTGTTAGCCCTTACAGCTGTTGCGGTTAGCAATCCCACTAGATCATGTGACCCACCACTATATTATGTTCCTGTAGATAGATCTATCAATACAACCTTCAACTATTCTACAAGCCCTTCTATCAGCAGTGCTGGTGGTGACTGAGCTCTCTTGCCCCAGTAGTCTACAGATTATGAGACTGTTAAGTGTGAGCCCCGCTGTGGTCAACATGCATGGGTTCAATCCCAGAATGAACTTAAGAAAATCCCAAAACAAATACCCCGGACATTTAACAGTGCCAAGAGACATCCTAGGAGTGTGGCCCTAGAAGTGAGCCCTTGAGCCCTAGGAGTGAGTCCAAAAAGAAAGACCGCTGAGAGGAGTCACTAAGAGGAGCCACTGAGAGGAGCCACTGAGAGGAGCCACTGTACTCTGTGGTTAGCTGGTCTGAGGGGGGGTGTTGGGGGTCCCGGGGTTGATCGGCCCTTCTACCAGCAGCGCTGGTGGTGACTGAGCTCTCTTGCCCCAGTAGCCTACATTATGTTCTTGTAGATAGATCTATCAATACAACCTTCAACTATCCTACAGTTTTTGATTTAGACGGAGGGGACAGTAACACAGGGATGACTCAGCGCCAAGAAATCAAGGCTCGAATAGCCAAAAGCAAAAATTATTCGAGCTTGAAATCAGACCGTCCCATCCACACCGTACGAACAGTCCGTTTCCCACATCAACACAAGCAGTGTTTGCAATTAGCCTATACTGAACGTCGCCATGTTCGCCGTTCCCGGATGGTCTGTTTCAAATGCGGAATTGAAGCTACAAACGGAGTATAAAGCTAAAACAGAACATCCGCCTCCTCAACCACAGGACTCTACGGAACCGAATGCCGAATCCAAGAAGCGGAAAAGAAAACAGGGAAAGGATCTCAATGACCAAAAGGTCACCAAGGGCAATGTGGATGAGATGTGGAGGAGGGTTATCGAAGGGGAAGCACCCAGTTCGGGCAAAAAGAGTGGCGCCCAGATAAAGGGAATGAAGAAGCGGAGGAAGTTAGAGAAAGCTGCTGAGAATGGAGCCGTTCAGGGATTGAAGGATACGGGCGCTGAAGGGACCAAATCGAAAGACGCCTCTATCTCCCCACCTGCAACTCCAGCAGATTCTATTGGTTCATTTAAGAAAAGCAAGAAACACAGGAAGCGCAAAGGAGAAAATAATGCTGAACAAACGAACGTGGCGGCTACAAATACACCAGGAGCAGTCGACTCCGTACCCCCTGCTCCTCCACCATCAACATCCCTCACACCGCTCCAGCAATCCATGCGCCAAAAGCTTCTCTCAGCCCGATTCCGTCACCTCAACCAGACCCTGTACACCACACCGTCCAGCCAAGCCATGGAACTTTTCACCTCCAACCCGGAGCTCTTCTTAGAATACCATGCAGGCTTTACCCGACAGGTACAGGAGTCCTGGCCGTCGAATCCCGTCGATGGCTACATCAGTGCCGTGAAGACTCGCGGCGCCCTGCGCCCACCCAATCAGAGGGGTGGTCAGAACAGAAAGCCAGATAAAAACGAGCGGAGAGCCGCTGCTCTTGGGCCCTTACCACGAAGGCCCAATGGGCTCTGCACGATAGCAGACATGGGCTGTGGCGATGCTAAACTTGCCCGGGTTCTGACACCGTCAGCCAAGGCTTTGAAACTCAAGTTGCTTAGCTTTGATTTGCATGTGGCTTATCCGCTGATTATGAAGGCAGATATTTCTGCGTTGCCGATTGCGGATGGGACGGTCGATGTGGCTATTTTCTGTCTTAGTTTGATGGGGACGAATTGGGTGTCCTTTATTGAGGAGGCGTGGAGAGTACTAAGGGGTGATGGGAAAGGAGAGTGCTGGGTGAGTGAGGTTAAGAGTCGGTTTGGGACAGTTGCTCGGAGGAACAAGATCGGGCAGAGGGGAGGTGGAGCTGGGGCGGGGAGGAAAGAGAGGAAGAAAAAGAGTGGTAAAGGGAAAGATAACGAAGACGAGGAGGCGATTGATGATGAGGAGATATTCCTAGAGGATCAGGTTAATACTGCTGCAGATGAGACGGATATTTCTGCATTTGTGGAAGTACTGAGGACTCGTGGTTTTGTGCTTAAGCAGAAGTCGGTGGATATGTCGAACAAAATGTTTGTCAAGATGGAGTTTGTCAAGCATGGGCATCCGACTAAGGGCAAATGGGCTGTTAATGTGAACGACACCAGGTTTGGGAAGAAGAAATTCATTGAAAATGATGACGGTAACGGGATGGCGCCTGAAGAAGAGAGTAAGGTGCTTAAACCGTGTGTATATAAGACCAGATAGATTTTCGAAGTATCCATCATTCATTATATTTTATGTCATGTTTTACTATGCATATTGTTATTTCTAGTTCAGACATCTTGGCTAGGAACCATGGAGGTGGGTTTATTGTTTGAAATTTCTTGAGTCCGCAGGGTCTCGTTTTATTCGCTAAATATCATGGAGCCTTCATACTAATTCCCTCCCAAAGTTGACACAACCCGTCCCATTTCTTCTTCCCCGTAAATCCGGAATCCCATATCCTTAGTCACACTGGCCAACTGCACGTTCTTAGCATCCAGCTTCTCCTCCATCACCTGTTTCAATGTCTTTAAAACAAGAGTCTCCGCTTCTACTAGGGTAAGCGAACGGTGGTATTCAGTTTGCAGCTCCGCTTGTGCGCCTTCACTTCCAGAGCCGATGGCCTTGGCATCGTATCGGTAGAAAGTCCCCGAAGGTTCAGCATGGTATCTACATCCAAAAATGGGATGTTAGTGTATCTGCCGCCAAATATCGCTTCGTAGAAGAAAATGACGTTAACTCCCGTACAATTGCGGTCCATCCTCGTCATAACCCGCAATCAGCAGCGCAACACCAAACGGCCTGCTCATCACGCTCTCCTCGCCATCAGCACCCTCACCAAATCTGAGCGCCAAGTCGCATATGGCCTGCGTGCAGCTCTCAACCCTCAGCGGCTCTGAATAGTTAAAGGCGTGGTTTTGGCTCTCGACACGGGCGTGCTCGACCATCGACCGCGCATCAGCCTGCAAACCGGACATTGCACATCCAATGTGTCGATCTATCTCGACGATCTTCTCTACGGATGATGTTTCGAGAAGGGTTGATGTTACCCGCTTTTCAACGCCTAGAACGACTCCTTCTGAGGTTGCGACCTGTGCATTTCCCGTTGAGAGTTTAGGGGGACTATGTTAGACATGGGGGTACAGCTGGTGAATGTGAATGAGATCCAAAAAATCGAAACGTACACCGATTGCTGTTGATCCCAGTTTTATAGCTTCGAGAGAGTATTCGACTTGGAAGAGACGGCCTTCCGGGGAGAAAGTACTGTAGTCAAACGAAGATGAGTAAGGATCGAGACTTTTCCAGCAGCGATTTTCAGAGGAATCACTCAGGCAGTCTTACTTGATACCACGGTCTGCAGATAACTGTTAGTCAAGAGAATAGTGGTGGTAGTACATGCACTGGGGCTTCTAAGAGCTTACCATATTCAGACCGCGCAATAAACATGATGAACGAGTATTATTCAAACGGGAGAGAATACAGGAAAAATAAATGAGAAAATAAAGGGGAACGCGGGTATAATGTTGTATATCAGTAAGAGAGCGTCTGTATAGCTGTAGGTGGGACTGCTGTTCTCTGTCTATTTGGTCTGGTCTGGTGTAGTGCATGGGTGTTGGATGAGAGCTCCGGATATGGCTTAGCTAATGCCTAGTTACGCAAACTGGAAGTGCCTGGAGATACCCGCGCTAGCCCCAAAAGGGATATAACACAACTTCCCGGATATCTACGCAGCGTATACACTGTCACTAAGAAGAAGTCAATAAGGCGGCGCGCTTCATTTGCCTTTATTCATCGGCAGAATTGGTGGCTCCGATGACGGGCGACAATTATGGCTTCCTCTTCTCCCTCCACCGTAAAGCCTTCTACGTCTTTCCATGAACGATCGGCTAGCCATTCAAATGGGCCTCGAGCACGCGTTTCCTCTGCTCGCGTTAATGGGAAATCTACGCGCTATGGGCAACCTATGCCCGCGGACGGGAGATTGCCTGCATCACGAGAAGGTACCCCTGGGACGGGAACCAGTCGAACGAGCAGAGACTATAACTCGAGTGAAGTGCGCGCGGAGAGAACACAGGTCACAACCAGGGAACGGGTCCAGGTCAGGTCGAAGAAACAGCCTACAAGCTCGGCACCAGCGTCAAAGGGCGAATGGGAGAAACCAAGAACGAAGAAACCCAGTCAAAATGAGGTTCCTAATCCGGCTGTTAGATCAAAGACGAAGGAGAAGGAGGTAGAAAAGGAGCAACCAGAGGGTCAGTCAATATTTGTGTGAGTTAGATATGCTAGCAATTAGGCTGATGGCAGTTTTTAATACAGCACTATGGGAGCCGCAAGCGAATTTGATTCCCCATTCGACCGCCCCCCTTGCGTGCCGTGTGTCTGTACCCCCTCTATCGTCACTGGCTCCGCAATCATTACGCCCACCACCGCTCCGGGAACTAAAAATGGAGGCGCAGGAAGCTGCAATTCTCGAGGACCTCCTATTTGTTTTCATGGGCTACGAAGGCCAATATATCCACTTTGTCAACTCCTATAACCCATCTGAAGAGACTGATCGGTTAATTGGCCCATCTTTTCAAATCGAACCAGGTCTTGAACCTAGCTTGAAGGATCTTACTCTTTCCATGCTGAAAATGGCTACCCACTATAGCGCCATGGAGGCCTTTGTAGAAGTTCAGAGCAGAGCGGAATTTGGTGCTGTCAACCATGCCCTTTGTGCTGCAATACGCAAACTGCTAAAGGACTATCTTATTCTAGTCGCCCAGCTAGAAAACCAACTTCTCAATAATCGTAATTTTACACTACATGTTCTCCACCTCCATATCATGCCTACCAGTCAGAGTATGGCTCAGCTATATGCACTCGGGCAAGAGCTATTGAAGAAAAACTCACTTCTGGTTCAAGAATCGGACGAGTCGGTCGATGATTTTGATGATGTGGAAAATCTCCTTGAACAATTGAGAGAAGGCGGGGAACTAGCTCCTGGGGGAATGTCAAGCAAAAGGCTCTGCAAGGGCGGGAACGTCTTAGGGGTATTAACTCAAAGGCTTGCAACTTTCTCTGGCGACCCAACCACCGGAACATTGCTTCAGACTCTGTTGCGGGAGGCTAGCCGTCCATATATGACCATGCTGAACGAATGGCTGCACCAGGGAGCCATTAACGATCCCCACGCGGAGTTCCTCATCAAAGAGCAGAAAGGGATCAAGCGCGACAAACTCGAGGAGGATTATACTGACGAATACTGGGAGAAACGGTATACCATCCGTGACAGCGAAGTCCCCCCACAACTGGACACCGTCAGAGATAAGGTTCTGCTGGCTGGCAAGTATCTCAATGTTGTTCGTGAGTGCGGCGGGGTTGATATCAGTAAAGAGATTCGGGATGTACCTCCGACCTTTGACGATCCACGATTTCTTGATAACGTAAATTCGGCATACGCATACGCAAACGCTTCCTTACTCAACCTCCTTTTAACGAAGAATTCTTTGACGACCCGATTCCGATCTTTGAAACATTACTTTTTCCTTGACCGTTCTGATTTCTTCTCTTACTTCTTAGAGTTGGGTGCATCAGAGCTCCGGAAACCGGCGAAGAATGTCAATGAAGGGAAATTACAGTCCCTGCTTGATCTCGTTCTTCGACAACCCGGCACTATTGCGGCTCAAGATCCCTTCAAAGAAGATGTGAAGGTTCGCATGAATTATATAGGATTAACCAAATGGCTCATGCGCGTGGTAAGTGTGTCCGGTATTGATCAGGATAATCCAGATGGTGGACTTGAAAGATATCAAACTCCTGCCCCACAAGCTACGGAAGAGGAAAAGGATATTATTGGTTTCGATGCCTTAGAACTCGACTACATGGTGCCATTCCCACTTTCACTCGTTATTAGTCGTAAAACAGTCCTCCGTTATCAACTTATTTTCAGGTACATCCTATCCCTTCGACATTTAGAAACATTACTCGGAGCCGCCTGGCAAGACCACATGAAAGTACAGAGCTGGCGCCATAGATCATCTGACCGGAAACTTGAGCTGTGGAAGCGAAGGGCCTGGACATTACGGGCTAGAATGCTCATATTTGTGCAACAGCTGCTTTACTTCTGCACTGCCGAAGTGATCGAGCCCAATTGGCAGAATCTCATGGACCGAGTGAATGGCGACGATGCTGACGGAACCGAAGTTATGGTCAATGGGACAAAACAAGTCAATCGGACAGTCGATGAGCTGATGCAAGACCACGTTGATTTCCTGGACACCTGTCTGAAAGAGTGCATGTTAACTCAGGGAAAACTGCTCAAGGTAAATATTTTACTATACCCCTCTCCTTCCTTTACATTGATTATGAGACGACTTAAACAGAAGATCTGTCTAGATCCATTCCAAACTCATGATCTGCTGTACTATGTTCGCTTCCTGGACAGCGTCGTCGCTCTCACGCAGTCTTGTCTCCGCGGATCCTGACCTGTCGGGCCCTAACTCCAAACAAAGCGTCGCTAGCTCCGATGCCACTAAGACGTATGACCCCACGCGCCTAGGTAAGCTTGAGGATACTTTGAAAAGATATGAAGACCATTTCAATCGACATCTCAGGATTTTAATGGACAGGTAGGTTATAAGCTACCTCCTTTCGAATTGCCTGCTGGCCCCTGATGGAAGCTGAAAATTAACTTTCGTACACGTGTATTTAGTTTGAATTATTTCGCCGCTACTGAGAGTGTGGTTTTGCTTAAACTTGCTCATTCGTTGAGTACGATTTGCAAGGAAGATTGAGTCCTCAGAACAGCTGGGAATATATTTTGCCACTATTCTTCATTAGTGGTCTCGTCTCGTAATCGGGCCATATTGCGATATGTGGATAATATTCGCGCAGTTTCGAAACCGATCAAGGACGGGGGTGCGCGTCTTATCTATATAGAACACTCTTTGTAGCTTGTTACCCTGACTTTCTGGAACCTAACTGGCGGCAAATCGACATGCCCGTGGTTAGCTCTCATACATGGAACGACCGCCGCCTACAATAGTCTAAGGCCCCGCTATGGAATGGTACTCTCCGTTTCAATCTGGTACGTAATTTTTGTGGCATGAACGATTGAAATCTGAGATGTTAGGAGGATGAGGTAAATTTGCATGACATGAAATTCCTGCTCAAAGCGATAATCCCAGATTTTCATGGGCCACTCGGTATCCCCACTCGGTATCCGACACTAGTCACCGGGGTAGAAGGAATTTATGGGGAGGAATATCGAAAGAAATATCGATATGGGGCTCCAGTTGGACGAGTTGACCATCACTGGTGAGGGCCGGAGTGAAATGAGTTGACATCTAAAGCTGTCTCATATCGATATTAAGGCTGGAGGGACCAGGAAACTTTTCCCTCAAACCCGGGCTATTTTTAGGTAATATTCACATCTAAATTACACTACCGCACAATCTCGCGTTTTTGTTAAGCTGCATTCTAAGCTTGTATTCATAAAATAACTATCCCAATGGGAATTTACCATGACATGCCGTCATATATATGTACAGTACATAAATAATGTGCCGCTATTCTTCAATCAAATCAGAAGAAAAGAGACAAAATAGCCATAGCGTTTACGTCTAATCATCAGTTCTTCAATGCTCCGAAACGAAGACACCAGCCATTCCCATACCCTAGAGAAGTAGAATAAATGGTTAGCCAACTTTCGTTCCATTTCATGATAGTTCGACGGTGGGATCTTCCATCTAGACGTAGGGGCCATGAATACTTACAGTTCCAACACACATAGACGTCACTACGACGCGCTTATTTTGTCTCCGAAGCTCTGAGAGGGCTGTCACTACTTGGCGAGCGCCAGTACAGCCAAGGGGATGGCCGATGGCACTGATGATTTGTGACAATGGATGTTAGCCAGACTCTTAACTTAGTGTTCACAGAAGGAAGATTATACGCACATTGCACCACCGCGAGGGTTTACTTTTGCAACGTCGAGACCGAGCTTCCTGACGCAGTAGACTCCCTGTTTTGTCACAGTAGTTAGCATTAAATAATGGAATACGAAACCACTGTGGAGTTTCCATTGTTGTGATAAACGCATACGGATATGTTAACATACCATTGAAGCGAACGCCTCATTGATCTCGAAGATATCCACATCCTCCTTCTGTAGGTTGAGCTTCTTCATCATTTTCGGTATGGCAAGTGTCGGGCCAATGCCCATAATCCGTGGCTCCAGACCGGCCACAGTTGCGCCGCAGAATTTAGCAAGAATAGGTTGACCCAGCTCCTGTGCACGGGATCGCTTCATCAACAGCACGGCGGCAGCGCCGTCGGTGACTTGCGATGCATTGCCGCCAGTTGTGCGACCGGGCTGCCACTGTGGGAACGCTGGGCGGACCTTGGCCAAGCTCTCGGCAGTGGTTCCGTACCGGACACCATCATCTCTATCCGCGACAACTTCCTTAACCTCCCCAGTTTTGGGATCCTTCACTTTGACTTTGATGGGCGTGATTTCGTCGACCACCCACCCGCTCTTCTGCGCCAATTCAGCTCGCTGATACGACCGCGCGGCGAATTCATCATGCATCTCTCGGGAGATGTTGAATTGGCCTGCGACGTTCTCAGAAGTCTGGCCCATTGGCATCTGGTTTTGAGACGCAATGGGGTGGTTGAGCACGTCTTTTGAGACGACGGCGGGGCCATTGTCTGGGATCGTGCTCATGCTCTCTGCGCCGACACCGATGCCGATATCGATAGCACCGGCTTGGATTTGGTTGGCAATCTGCTGGATGGCGAGCAGCCCAGATGAGCAGAAGCGGTTGGCGACTGACACAGAGGTAGTTACGGGATACCCAGCGACCAGGACCGCGGAGCGGGAAGCGTATGCGGCAGACGGAGCAGAAACATTTCCGACGCAGACATCTTCAACGAGAGCTGGGTCGATGTTGGATTTCTCACGGACGGCCTGGAAAGAGAGAGGGTAAGCTGTTTTGCTCTGCTTTTTTTTTTTTTTTTTATCATTTCGCTTCTTGTCAGATTGAGAGTTGAGAGGTTCAGCTTACAGTAAGCAAGGCGATCAGAAGGTCATCAAGGTGTGTGTCCTTGAGAGCTCCTCGGCGAGCTTTGGTGAGAGGGGTCCGGGTAGCGAAAGTGATAACCTATGCATTTCATGTTCTGTCAGCATCTCTGACGATTGGGACCAAAAAATGTCAGTTAACAGAGATATGGCCTTACAATGTCATCAGGATTCTTTGCCAGAAGCGCCTGTCTTGCTGGCGAATCTCCAGCCTGGAGATGGCCCTGAATCGAGGATAGTCTTTGCTGTGGGGATGCCATTGTGGAGGATGTAGTTGTATGAACTTCGCTCAGGTATGCGGAACAAAACACGCAAGAGTCAATGATAAATATACAAAAGGAAGCGGAAGAGAAAGCAGATATTTAAATAAGCCGGAGAAAATCACAAGCTTATTTATTGTCCGCAACCTTTTCTCCTCCATCCCCACCGATGCATGGAAATGGCTGCCGCCACCTCCAGAATCGCTGGTTTGTCCCTCGGCAGTTCCTGGCTTTTCCACCAACGTTTCGTCTCACGCCCGAACAGCCGATAACTTAAATAGCTATAGAAAGCTTACTGTTGAGCTCCTCAGAAGCCGACGATTAATCAGCCGCCCCGGGTTTTCGACATGCATCACCCTGGCGGACTATTGTTCCCGCCATTAGCAATTGAAGGTTACACACCAAATGAACTTGGGTTGCGTTCTGAACTCTCATGTGTGGCACGGCCGCCATTGCACGAGAGCAGTTATCAGTAGTTAGCGGATGTGTGCTGCTAGATCAGCAAATGGCCGATGTCTGGCTACCGGGGCTGAAACATCCATGAAGATTGTTCTAAATTTATATATAGTTATAATCCTTCGACTGTCTCAAAGATCCATCAACCTTCTTGTGAAGAGACTGTTTCTCCTCTGTATAGAATCTCTTCTCAGCTTTCTCACTGGAGTAAATACCCGAAGGTATTTAATCAATTTTCGTCAAAGGGGATGCGCCAGAGAATTTCAGACGAGCATGATACACCTCCCAAGCAGCTTTAGCCTCACGTTCAAGCCCGAGCTCTGCGGCTGCATTGAATAAATCCGTTGTCTCAATACCCAAGTGTTAGCAGTAGGGCGATCAACAATAGATGACAATGGATGCCATTACCTCTCACCCCCTCGCCTCGCTCTTTGCCATCACTGCAGTTGTTAGCTATCTAAACGCCAAGTTCGCGATAGGCTCTGATCTCAGAGACATACGGCACGCGCGAGACTTTGCGCGCCGGAAGCAGCGGAGAGTTGCTTGTGCTAAAAGAACACACTCTCTGTATGAGATCCTCGAGCAATCAGGGGCCGGGGATGGAGACGACGCGATTTGGTTCGAGAGCAAAACGAAGTCCTACGGCCAGTTGAAAAAGGGCATGTTGGTCTTCTCAAATATCTCGTATCAGTTCTCTTTTTGCTATCCCACTTCTAGACTTGTTGAAACTGCGCCGAGTTTGTTTTGTATTTCTTGTGTGTCGTCGGAACGAAAGAAAGAAAGAAAGAATGATACAAGCCAGATGGGACGACATGAGTACAGATTAAGCGCACTGCGATCTAACATCTGCTATTTTTTCAGAGGTCGACCAACTCGCGGGGTTGCTGCATGCTCGCAGCATCAAGACTGGGGATGTCGTGGCGGTGTTCATGACGAACTCTCCCGAAATGGTCGTGACGATTCTCGCTCTCTCGAAGCTAGGTGCGGTGGCAAGCCTGATCAATACGAATCTTCGGAGTGAGTATTCGGCGTGCAGTATATTGACATATATATTTATTTTTTTATTCAATACATTTTGAATGCTAATGGAATATGTCGTGTCCTAATAGACGACACCTTAATCTATGCTCTGGACAGATCCAAACCGATATACATACTGTCTACTCCTGATTTGGCTCAGCATGTCAAGGCGTGTAATTCGGAACGACCTGTTGTGGATTACCTCAACCCCTTTAACTACAGATGTCAGAAACCCTTCAAGATACTACCCGCTCCGGACATACTCCCCACTCCCCACTCCCCTTGTTCCACGGCACCGCCTTCTTAGCAGGCTTATGCTACAACCTGGGGTCTGCGGGGACCCTCTGCCTAGCTCGAAAGTTCTCCGCCTCGAGTTTTTGGAAAGACGCAACCGAATGCAGGGCAAATCGCATTCTCTACGTAGGCGAACTATGCCGTTATCTCCTCGCAACGCCAACTTCTTCGTACGATCGATCTCACTCCGTTACACACGCTTTCGGCAACGGCCTCCGGGCTGATGTTTGGGAGAAATTCAGGGAACACTTCGGGATCGAAGAGATACGCGAAATCTACCGTGCTACCGAAGGTATAGCTAAGTTTGATAATCACGGTCGCTCCGCGGCCGGTGCAGGAAAAATTGGATTTGCAGGACCTATCAAACGATACTTGGAGGATGTGACGTTTGTGGTCAAGTATGACCCGGAGACGCAGATGCCTGTTCGAGATCCGAAGACAGGCTTTTGTATTAAGGCGGACCTAGGTGAGGAAGGGGAGGTTATTGGGCGCGTTTTGAATTTGAAGCTACTGTCGAATTATTTGAACGATGATGCGGCGACTGAAAAGAAGCTCTTAAGGGATGTATTCCGAAAAGGGGATTTGTATCAACGAATGGGTGATTTGGTTATTCATGAAGAATCTTGGTGGGTGAGATTTCAGGAGAGGGTTGGTGATACCTTTCGTTGGAAAGGGGAGAATGTGAGTGCCGGGGAGGTAACGGGGCATATCTGCCTGCTTCCTAACGTGATGGATGCTGCTGTGTTTGGAGTTAAGCTTGATGGGTACGAACATGGGTGGTTTTTTTTTTTTTTTTTTTTTTTTTTTTTTTTTTTTTTTTTTTTTTTTTTTTTTTTTTTTTTCGTGACTGTCCGCAGATTTGATTCAACGTGCTGATTTTCGAGGTATGTAGTTACTATGGCACAGCTGGCGGAGCGATCATTGTCTTACACTCACGCACGGAAGCGTCCGAAGATGAATTTATCAACTCTCTCGGCTCTGCTCTGGCTAAGAGAGGAGTCCCATCCTGCGCTCTACCGCGTCTTGTACGTATGACCAATAGGTAAGTCTTTCGTTACTACCATACAGATAGAGCAGAAGGGCTGAAATTCGTTAACACAACAAACTCAAACAGCATCGCAGCGGGGGACACATTCAAGCAGGCCAAAACCATTATGGAAAGGCTAAGCTGGAATCCGAATTCCGTTCCACCTCCGGAAGTAAAGTCGGGTGGTGAAGAGGAGTATCTAGAAGAGCAACTCCAGCATGATACGCTGTATTGGTTTAATCCTGCGAAAGGGTATCGGCGGATGGATGCACGGGCTTGGAGTGGTATTGAGAGGGGCACAGTGAAATTGTGAGAACGTGGAACTAGAACAGGAGTGTCTGGAAGCGTTGGCCATATTAATTTGCTTGATCTCAAGGTTGGTTACAACAGGCACAAGTATACGATATATATTGTCTAGGTAGATAGAAATTAAAGGAGTACTTTCCGTTGCATGACTCCTGAATCCAAGGCTGAAAAGGAATCACTATTTAGCGACCCGAAGGAATGAAGAAGATGCTCATGAGGATGCTTATGATATTTACAGACATGCGAAAAGAGAAGGTAACAGAATTGGGGCGTTTCACCGTTGCGCCAATTAGTGAACATAAAACAAGCAAACATGACTATATAGAGCATGATCATTCCTCCGACTCGGCCCGCTTTATCTTCTTCGACTTCTTATGTTTCTTTTCAGCCGATTTCTCTGCGTCTCCTTCTTTCCCTTCCGCATCGTGCCGTTTCCGCTTCTTTTTCTTTTTCTCAACCGCATCCACTTCTTTGGGTGGAACAAAATCTTTCTCCAGCTCCTTTTTCTTCTCCTCTCTCTTCTCCCTTTGCCGCTCCACCATCTCCTCCTTTTTAGACCGCTCTCGCGCCTGCTTACTTAGGAAGTATTCGCCACTTTCAATCTGCAGATCAACCTTGCTCTTCTCCTGAGGTGGCGGGAATGGCGTGTACACCTTCTTGCTCTTATCAGTGACCTTGAACGGCTTCCTTCGCTTGCTTAAAGTGCGTTTCTTGAAGTGGGGCAAAAATCGATCCCAGCTTTCATTTGCAAGTTTAGGGTCTTTCGCGAGCTCCTTTTTGATCATCATTTCCTTGATATGGTATATAGGATGAATGTTGTTCATGCAGTCCTCCACCACCCTTCTGATTTCTTTCAGTCCTTTATATGGGCCCATGACGGACACTGTGTTTCCTTGGACGAGGATATAGGTGTTTGAGAGAAGTTCGAGAGCTTTTAGGGTGGAACCCGAAGGTCCAAGGATACGTTGGCGCCGCTTCACGAATCGTTCTTTGTTCCGTACTAGATTTCGGATTTTAATGATATCGCATGCTACATCATCTTCGAGGATTTGTAAAGCCTAAACGTTTCGTTAACCAAAAATTCGTTAGCTATCAGTTAGCTATCAGAAGAATGGCGAATACAAGCTCTTCTTCTGAGTAAAAAAAAGTACGGGCATACCTGTGGTGCTGGTACGCTTCGTGCGAGAAGCTTAATCAAATCGCGGGCATTCAAAATCGCGGCTGGATCAAAGGTTTTCCGTGTGGTCTTCACGGTCATGCTTCCTTCAACCAAATCCAGCGTGCAGGCTATACCGTGCTTTTCCAGTGCTCTTGTTATCATAGGCCAGGTTTCTTTTAAATATGCTTCTCTGTATTTTGGGAATAAGCTGACGAAGGACGACTCCTCCGTGAATGTGCCGCCAGCATTGTGTTCTGGTTTGAATTCCTCGATCTAAAAATAAGACATATCAAGCCACATTAGCCAAAGAAACTCGTCATGAGCCAAACAGCAGGAGAATGGCTGACCTTCCATTTGTCAATATCATCCGTATCCCAGGGTTTATCTTTCTTATATGTGGAGGGCATTTTGGCAGTGCCCTATCTTAGAAATGGCGGCAGCTGTTCTGAAGTTGTTGAGGTGCGCGTGAAGGCAAACTATCCAGGTGACATTGTCGCAGCAAAGCTGGTGGAGGTTTTTTTCCTCTGGTTTTGGCTGTGGCTGCAGGTGGAGCCGAGGCTAAGCCGAAATAGTGAAACAATTGCCGATTCTGGGGTTTAGTTCCTAGTCTGGGCGCTTACAGAGCGCCCAAGCGCCCGCTAAGTTTTCTTCCTCACGTCGATGTAAAAGCAATAAGGGGATGGAGGAGGAGGAAGAATCTCAGCAACAAGCTCGAATGCTCAATCCTGGGCCTGTGAGGGGATATGCCACCTGTAACAAACATGTACATAGCATATGCAAAAATACAAGTATAATTTGGTTATCTATGTGCGGCTTATTGTTACAACTGCCCATTAACTCAAGATATTGGCGAAGCGTCTCTGGGGGTAGTTGCTAGGAACTGGAAGCCAGAGAAAACAGGAGAGGTGTGTAGTGATGTTCTCTCATATGTGGGCAAGTGGAACCTGTGAGATCGAAGCTGGTTGGAAGCGTTCCGCGATGCCCGTTGCAAGGGATGGAGAGACAAAACAAAGCCATCTCTCCCCATTTCCCGTCTTTCCCTGATCCTTGGTTCACTAGGTCGAACTATTGAAACAGATGTGATGTTGCTTTCAGTCCAGAACGGCCCACCAGTTAAACTTGTTTCTGACAGAATATTTCACTTCAAGGTGAAGCTTGTGGAGACTTTAAAGAAAGATATCCTACAGCTGTGAACCCAAACTCGTGAACAAAGATTAAAATCATAATGACTAGTGGCCCTCACTGCCTTGAATGTTTGCCTCAGAACTTTTTTTATCCCGCCCGCAGTAATCTGTACTGACATCGAAATAGTACAGGTAAGTTTGCTTCCCGTGTTCCGATCGGTAATTATTGAAGATCTTCCTAAGAGCGCTCGGCCAGTTGCGAAACTGGGGCTTGCTTGATACAGAGTACGGAGTACGGAGTAGACGGCAGAGAAACGGGCTTGGGCCGATCTCAACAACTTCCAAACAACTGAATATTGCAAAGGTTCACCGCTGCTCCTTCTCTCTGTCTTCACTGTTGAGTATCGTTAGCATATGTTCTCGAATGTTTGCTCTGGTACGAAGCACAAGGATCTTGTTTTGGGTCTTATTTTGGTCCAACCAACCAGGCTTCGCGGGAACCAACGGGAATGGGAACCGAGAGAACATTTTACTGTGGGAAGACAGGGCTGTGTCCGGCTGCTCCTAACAAGGAGATAGAGTGCAATTTCATTGGATTCGGTTGAAGGGCATGGTTCATGGGCCCCAGCTATAACCCGCACTGATATACAGTACAGTGCGCAGTACGGAGTAAATTTGACCAAACGGCCCTCATATAATTGCTGGCGGTGGGGGGGGGGGGGGGGGGAAGATCGCTTAATTCCACTCCCCATGGTAAGAGGAGTGGCTGCTGCCTGTGAGCGCCCATGTGTCCTTGCGTCCCCCGCTGACCCAGTTGTCTGATGGCCGTCCAGCTGAAATAACAACTTGTGAGAGTTGTAGTTGTGTCACCACTCCAAAGGGGCACGCAACTGCCACGGCCCCTGGAGCCCCCAGTACAACTTCCAACCACCTATTCCTCCACTCCCTCCGCCACTTCTAACTTCACCTCCATCAGTTCGCCTTCAAGACCGCCCAACCTTTGGGGTCTGTGTTGACTATGCCCTCTGTCATGGAGAAGTGGCCTTTTATTGACATCTGCAGATTTCAATCGGTTCCTCCCGAACACCTTCGTGGTGTAGTTTATTTCGGTCCACTAACTCGTGGCATCGCCATGAGTGAGCTCGTCAGTCAGCTGTGTCTATCTGGTCTGAGGCCATTACAAGCCTGTGAATTTCCTCCTCGATGCTTCAAACTATGGGTCTGGGGTATGGTACCTTGTAACTGACGATGACAGGCCCTGCAGCTGACCAATTTCTCCCACTTCCTGGACTTACCAACCCTTGACTTCTCTGTCATATTCGTCTTCCCCATCTGCCTATGGTGCAAATAGATGGCGCGTGTATTCGTCTTTCGTGGTTGAGGTTGGTGTGTCGTACAGTTAATTGAATAAGGCACACAGAACAAATGCCTTCGGACACCATTCAGGCGACAGCTTTCCTGCCGAATTCCGGAAATTCTTCTCTTCTGGTAAAACAGTTGTCCCGAAGTCTCCATTACATGATATATCAGCGGTTGAACGGCCGGTGGCGCGGATGCGTGTTATGAGATGAATATTCGATCCCTTCCAGAAAGGAACCCTGCCAGTGTTGGAGTTATCGGTAGCTGGAAACGTGTAATTTGGTGTGAAAGACAGCATTATTAACTGGGACAAAATGGCTTGGGGCCATTTAATAACAAGCGGAATTGCCTGGGTATATCCATCCCCTTCTCTTTCTATGTATTTGAAACAATGCTAAGGCTTCGTGAACATTAACAGGCTGATGAAACTGAAATTACATCCATGGGTAGCAGAGATGGACTTGAATGAATATTTGATTCGTGGTAACCCCTAGTATCCTAGCTAGGAGACAGAAAAATGGCATACTAAAAGCAAACAATACCCTTCCGATTGCCACGGCTTGCGATGCTTCAACACATTTTCCCCATGCAGTTCGATTTGTATTACTCACAGTATGCAATGTAGCGGGCGGCTGTACTAACTGATCACGGCTTTTGGCCAATGGCAACATATCTATCTCATCAGTCAGATGAGTGGAACCTAGACACTCCAGAAACCCAATCTATAGGACACTTACAGCGGGAAATATGCCTTAAGAGATAGGTTATCTACCTCGGTGCGAGCTTGGGCGACAAGTACCTCAAATTCTTCTCGAGACATGTTCATTCGCTTCATAAGTGGATATAATGCCAACGAACCGAGAAGGCTATAGACATTTGGCCTATTCATGCTTCCTATCCCACGCAAACGGGCGTCTGAGAAGTGTCAGTGAGCATTCGTTCAGGAAACGGCCGTTCAATACGCTTACCATTTGGCCAAGGAGCCAAAGGGACATTAATCAATGTCGTTTGGATATTGGCGAACCCGGCAGATTCCAGAAGGCCTTTCAAATTCATTGCAACTCTAGGGTCTTTCACGTCCTCGATGCTTTGAAAATATTTCGAACTCCACTGCCTCAAGGCGTGATCATGGGTAATAGTACCGTTATCTGATTGTACATTGAAGTATATTTCGACCATTTGTACCCAACCGCCACGTCTCAGCGTTCTAATTGTGAGGATGATTTGATCAGTCGGACTATTCCCCTCAGTGCAACTACCTATTTCAATCGTGCTTGTATAGTTTTATATATTCAAGTGGGTTTAGGATAGCTGCTTACTTTTTTATATCCCTAATATAGCTCGGCCATCTCTGCCTATGCAATCCGGAAGCGACAAGCCTGGAGTGAACAACGTCGAAATAGTTTGGTTTAAATGTGAACGGTCGATTTAAGTCATCAACCTAGTTACGAGAAGAAAGTTAGCCAAGGAAATCGCCCGATGGATGGGGTAGAATGAAAGTCTGGTGGTACCCCCGAGACTTTCGTCTCGAGTGCCCAGCGTCCGGTATGTGACTTGACAATTGAATCGCAGGGCTATAAATTAACGGGGACCCAAGGCGAGGTACCCGAAACTATCATGTTCAACTGACCTGCAGCCATAGGTTCTCAGGCGTTTCATCCGGCCTCATGTGCGGAGATATATCTACCCCGATAACCTTCAAATGGCATTAGCATGGGTCACTGTGAGCGCATCATCAGTACCTACTTCACAAGATGGATATTTTTCCGCAACTTCGACAGCCCAACTTCCGGTCCCATAACCGCAATCAAGAACTCGTTTTGGCGAGTCCACTGGAGGAAATATCAATCGCTCGTCGAAAACTGTGCTGAGAACGCGATGTTGTAGCTCCAGTCGTTCAATTTCATCCTACATTCTGTCAGCCGACGGACTCTGGCAATAGATGAAGTGTTTGATATGAGCCTTACATCGTCGATAGGCCCAAAATAAATGGCATTTTCCACAGAGTAATTTTGAAACTCTCTCCCTTGATATGTGATTAGTTCAAGGAAACATTCGTCTAATTCCGTGGTTCCAGATTCCGGGTTCCTGAGAAGCAATACTGGCGTCAGTTATTTTGCACTTTGCGGGAATCACGGAATCACAAAACGGGATTTTGGTACATGATCTTAGCCTTATTTCGGAATATATTCCCGATATATTGCGAGTATCCAGGACTGGGGGAAGGAGAGAAAATTGACTCTGGAATGGTATTTTCTGATGCACGAATGGTACCGACTAATATTCTGGTTGAGGTTGGAGTGCGGTCAAAAATTGATGAAGTACAATACCCCTTTCGTTTTGCACTGATGCCTTCGCGTCACTGAAGTTACTGTTAGATGCGGAAACGGATTGAGCTTAGATTTGTTCAGGATAGCGTCGCATTCGGTTCAGATCAACCGGACTTTTATATTGTACAGTTTTTTTGTTCCGCAGTGCGTACCCCTGTCTTGCATCAATCTTGGAAAAGAAAATCTTAGGGATGTTGAGCGTCGGAGAAATCCAGTCGCGACTGACTGCCCGTCACATCTACTGACCATCCGCAAGGCTCCTCTTCTCCGCCTATTTCCCGTGCGATTCCCTCATCGCCAGCAATGTTCGCTTTGCTCTTAGTCGAATTCGTGGTCTTGGGGCTCCATAAAATTAAGGCGAAAATGGCTAATAACGCTCCTACAACCGGGCCAAAGCGATATGCATGGTTAAACGGGGAGAAACTAATGGCGAACTGGATGGAGAGAGCCATGTTAAACTGGCCTTAACTAGTTGGGTTTTCATACCACTGGACTGCAGAAATGTCTTTCGAAAGTCCAAATTACCAGAGCTGACGATTGGTGAATCCAAAGTCACATGGTTGTGGTATGACGGCCGGAGGCTGTTCCTTTTCAAAACGGCTGCACACTCTTGAGCATTGCCTTTGGGTTGGTGGTTTCGAATCAGAAATCTGACTAGGACTCTCAGGCCCCTCTCAAAATTCAGATAAATTCCATTATTCGTCCCACAACGAAAGCCTTCCCGTCGGTAGAAATTCTACTTCAGGTGGGACCGGGGTTGGGACAAGGATTGATGATAGTTATTGAGCCTTTAACCCGCATTGTCAGGTGCAACAACACGTCATCGAGACCTCTATTCTCGGTTGCGACACTTGCCATAGAATTCTAGGCGTGTTCTATTCTCTTCCCAGTGACATGGACTTGGGATTTCCAACTCCCTATCCCGTGTCCGTCGACAACGGAACCAACTACTTGCCGGGGAAAAAATACAAATGAAAATGAAATGTGGATACGGAATAACCCCAATATATTGTCAGTCTCGGTTGGTCCCAGACTGCAACTTTGAGATAGATCGGACAGTAGCGATCAATATGGCAGTCAGTTTAGCTTCAACTGAATAGAAGGGAAGGATGTTTATTGAGGAAGAACAACTCACAAATTAACATGATTCCTGACAGGTGTGTAGCATAGCGCGGGAACCGAACACGACTTTATCCATGGATGTCCACTTATGATGCATATCACCAACCTGGACCTGCGGTTGGCGTGTCCTTGTCGTCAACACCAAAACCAAGGAGAGAAACTTTTGCGGTGCCCTCTGTCTTCGGTCCAAAAAGATAACAATCTCGCCCTCGTTCCTTTTATTCTGGTCCACGCGGTGACCATTGGTGCCTTGAACTCTATGCTTTTTGAACTTGGTCCCTCGAACGCCCAAGCGTTATGCACTTGTTTTGCAGTTCGCGAAATTAAATTTAAAAAGCTGGGACCACAAACACGACGAATGAAAGTCTATGAAGTCTCATCAGTAGGCGGTGAGCAAACGTTGATCGAACTAAATTGAAAGCCAAACTCGAATTGAACGATATTTACGTAGTCATCTGCTGCACGTAATTATTTGTCCGGTGTGGTGTCAAATCTCCTCCCAGTTTGTCGGGTCCTTTTCAGCCCAGACCCACTTGTCTAACGATGGTTGCCATAATGCGAATTCTTATCGACCCGTACGTCGACTTTCAACATTTCGACCCGCGGCCCACCATTGACGTGGCATCCTTCCTTTCGCCAGGATATGCTTCTCCTTTCAAGACCGAAGCTAAAAGGCGCGACCTATTTTTCAAATAGGCAGAGCGATCCTTGGATATTCCAGGTGCCATTTCATTTCTGTACGGAACGGAGGAAAGTGAGGAAAATAAATTTAGATTTCTCTGTTGACAATAAGGGAACTCTAATTTCAATGTTCAGAAGAAGTCACTGACTTGACATCAATACTGTTCAAGTGGTGCCTACACTACAATAGAAAAAGTTCATTCTTTCTCAAAAAATGATCCGAGATTGATGAACAAGAGCATCAAAATACCCCCTTTTTTTAACGCTGAGTTCAATCTGCTCCTTTTTCCGCAGCAACTTCCTTTTTCTCCTGCGTGGCGTTTGCAGTTTCTGTCCATGCGCACGGTGTAGCACGAGACCCATCTAACCGAAGCACACACACAGCCTATAGTTATTTTAGCTTTTGGATCGAACTTGCTTACTCCGTACGGAGTACATTGTTGCTTCATTTATCGGTTAAGCGAATGCTTTTGCAACATCTCACAATTATCCCTTTCGCGAATTATGGGATATTGTGCTTAAAGGCTGTCCTGAAATTGTGCCTTTTTCCAGATTCAGCTTATTCGATTTCATCTAGTTATTAGTCACTTCCTGAGTAACCCTTACCATTCCATTCCGCCTGGAATCTAGTTCTCATTACTCCTCTACAAATACAAATCCCCCGCCAAATAATCAATGCGTGGACGCGTTACGGCTATTAGCTCTCTAAGCTCGGGATTTAGGCTCAGAGCTTCCAGCGGGAGAGCCGTTTATTTGCACATTCGCAGGGCCTGATCACCAAGAAGTGGTATATTATTTGTGTAGGATTGGTGGGGTCGGTGGGATATCCGTGCGGTGACGACGTCGCGATATCTACAAATTTCTTCGTGTCTCAACGAAGGATATCAGGCTGCGTGGTGGGGATATCCACTCTGATTGTTTGGCATAATATTGAGATTAACAGAGTGGAGGATGTCACCTGGAACTTTCCAGCCGTTACAGGCAGATTACTTTACGGCGATGGGGTATTATTATTATTGCTTGGGTGAGGCATATGGAGCACCAGAAGACATCTAGGCGTCGAAGTTGCTGTTACACTAGGGTCTTGGGTAGTTTTTGGCCCTTCGGGGCCTCCATCACCCTTCCCCCCGCCCTGGTTGGAAAGGATATAATCTATGTATATTATTATATTGGCGAGTTATGCTACTTCCATTCGTTCTGCAGAATACATAACTACCGTGTGGCTTGCTGATCTGATCAACCATGTGGCTTGGCAGTTGAAGTCGAACTTGTTGCAAGAATGACGTCGAAGTTTTTACTATTTCACCTTGTTTCAAATTTTTTTTTACTCCCAAATTGACAAGCTGAAGCAAATGTGCATCAATAACTCGCGACAATGCGGGATCCGTCCGAATTAGGGTTTGAAACCCAGTACCATGATTCAACGATGCATTGGCGTCTGGTTATTATTGGCTCAAACATGAGCGTTCGGGATTGGCTTGGGGCCTACCAATGGGCTCGCTCGTGGGGCCTGATGAGTGGGAAAGGGAAGGGTTGCAGTCTTAGACGAGGTCGGTCGGCCAAAAGCCTCCCATGAGAAGAGACGCAAACTTCATTTTGCCTTTGATTTAATTTGAATTGTTGTTTCTTTCCTACTACCAAAGTAGGACAGAGATCTTGTTGCCTCGAAATACAGTTTAGTTGGGTTCCGGGCACTCTCTGACAGTTTCCTCACTTGAAACCTATGTTCGTCGATTTACTACGCAAGCAGTTCAACTTGCGCTTAATCATTTCAACTTCTGGGATGTCTTATGATTAAGTTATTATTATTATTATTGATGACTATCATCACCCCTCCAACCCCTTCCCCCTCACATCGACTTTTTCCGAGACCCAGAAATCCGCGTTGCCAGCGGGTGGGTGGGTGGGCGAGCGAGCGAACAATAATACTTACAAAAAAAAAAAAAAAAAAAAAAAAAAAAAAAAAAAAAAAAAAAAAGCAAGTCATGAAGTCTCCGCATGAACGGATCAGAGAGCCGTTTAGTCCTGATGTTTAACGGCAGTTTGCCAGTTCGGGGCGTGGGATGTGGAGCTATATTCGTTCCGTCAGCTCAGCGTCATGCCATGCCGTGACTGGGCTTTTTATTTTATTTTAGTTGGTTGAAATTTATTCTGTGGTATAGTTCCCTGGTGATAGTCACAACCTTCTTTAAAGTTCGAATTCGCGTTCCTAAATTGTGTCATTGGAGGGGAGTCGCCGAGTCGGTGAAAGAATAATGGGTGCTGATAAACGGTTGATACCATCGCTGGTCGCTTTCTTGCCCCAGCTCTTCTTCTAACGAGAGAGGATTTTGAAGGAGACTGCCGTACTTTTGTTCTGTAACAGCCAAGTAACGTATTCCTTTGCCAGACATTATTATTTCCCGTAGAAACAAACTAAACCAAGTTTTTAGTAGTACAGACGGTACTTTGCTCTCGGTCCATTGTGATATAAGATCGAATAGGATCCGTAAGTCGTGCCGATTGATTGTTGCCGTAGCTCGCTTTGACTGCCACCATGTTATATGGAATTAACCAAGCCTATGTTACTATGTAGAAGAAGTTAGAAAAGTAGTAAAAACCATTTATTAGACTACTAATATCATAGTAATATGTTTTAGGTCCTTTGTTACTTTGGCCAATACTTCAGAGGCGCGGCAAATCCCACCCTTCACCAAACCCTTGCTTCCAAGCTAAGCATTGTTAACCTCTCATGCCCATGCATGTCTATACTCGCGAAACAGTGGAAAGGAAACAGTTAAAGTTTAAACGAATACCTGCTTTATTCCGGAGCAGAAGTTGAAGTTGTGATATTGTCCTTTGTTTGGGTGAAAGGTTAAAAATGGTTCCGAGCGTTCGGGACCGGTCCTGAGCCAAAGTTGGGAACGCGCGCTTACGAACTTAAGCGCCGTGCGCGCTGTGTCGATGCCGAAGGTTTTGGAAAAATAGCAGACATCGAACGCAGGACAACGCCAGATGAGGGGGGTGGGACGGAGTCTGGAAGAATGCTGAATACCATATTAAACTGCTCTAACATCAACTAATATTATAATTCATCCATAATGCGGATGCGAACATTGGATGGCAAAAGAACACTCTGACAGATCTGAAAAAGCCCCCTCTGCCTATTCCAGTCGGCCCGAGAACATAGTTGTAATACATCTATCTACCCTTTTATTAATTTCGTTTTTATTCCTCTGAGACAAGTTCCGAATCCCTGTTTTAACCTTTGTCGGAGAAAAAAAAAATAGTTATGGCCATACTGTCCCACTTCAGCGCCCTTTTTTAGGACGGTTATTCCCAAGAGACCCATCGTTCCCACGGAGGAGTCAGCTTCCGACGGCTAAAAGTACACAAACTATCATGAGGTGTAAATCAAGTAGATTTCTTGTTCCTCTCGCGCTCCGCCTTCCGTAGCGCACGTGCTCGAATAGATTCGTGGAAGGCTTTATTATAACCCAGAACGAGTTTACCCATGGGTCCTAGAACTTGCGTGAGAGCAAATGCCATCACACCATGACTCCAGTAGGGCGCAGAGGTATACGCGTATGCCGACAAACCGCTCCCGCGACCAATTTTGCTGAGGGCTGCTCGAACGAAGTTGCGCGGAACGGGAACTGTAACGGTGGGCCTGCGGATCTTGGACAGGGCAGATGTCACTAGGTGGCTCTGGACAAGCTCAACCTGCACCCCGTACGGCTTCAGCTCGCTGCCTAGGGCAATCGACCAGTATTGCAGGAATGCCTTGCTCCCGGAGTAAGTAGCCAACAGCGGGGTAGGAATCATGCCGGCAAATGATGCCATGGTCATGATTAACCCACGCTTGCGCTGCATCATTCCCGGTGCAACCAGCTGGGTGATGCGCAGGGTGCCCATGCAATTGATGGTGATTATACTCTCCATTTCTTCGAGCGGGGTGAGGACGAATGGGGTTGGCATGCTATGGCTGCGGCCGACGTTGTTGATGAGGATGGAAATATCGAGATCCTGGATCAAGAGCTTGAGTTTCTCGTAGTCGTCATCGTTGTTTTCAAAGAAGTCCATTGCGAAGAGTTTGGTTTGTACGCTGGGGGACTTGCTCTTGATTTCATTGGCGACATCATCTAGTTTCGAAGTCGTACGCGAGACGAGGAGGATATTGTAGCCCGCGCGGGCGAGCTGGAGAGAGAATTCTTTGCCAATTCCATCTGAGGCACCGGTGACAAGTGCCCAGCTTCCTTTTGGTCCGAATTTGGAGAGCTAGATTCGACGGAACAGATAATAAACTGTTAAGTGACAATGCTCGTAGACAAGGGAGTGCAAGAGAGTAGGAGCTGGGAATGGCCGTACCTTCTGCCCCGGCAGGATGAAAATACTGAGTAGGGCACGGAAAACGTTAAACAATTTGCATGCTGTGAACAATCCTCCAGTCAAGAGGAGGAATAGAGCCGCATTCGACTGCCAACCAGGGGCTGGGGCGAAGCGGAACTGTGACAGACGGTCCATACAGGCGCAGGCCAAACCCATTGCTTCGCTTACGGATCTTTTCAGTCAGTGAAAAGGAAGCTGTTGGGGTGGGATATTCCGTCACGGGATAGGAGGATGGTTGACAGCGCCGTCGGGATGTTTTGCCAAGATGAAGCCTGCTCTTTTTGATAAATATTGTTATTTATTGTCAACAAAACTGCGTATTTATGGTTGTTGGTGAAAGATAAATACGTCCGAGAAAATACAAATGGCAGCCCGTGGTACTCCGTACGGTACCGTATGATACAGAAGCTATTTACGCCAATACAACTCAATCCCTGAAAACAGGGCTCAGATAATGGAAATTAAAGTCAATGGGGATTTAACTATTTAGATAAACATATCAACTCTCGTCAGTCCAGATCCTCTGCAAATTCACAGAGATCACAGTGTATTAAACGCGTCCAAATCGTTAAAATTGTGAAGGCAATCGAATCCGTCAGCTCTATCAAAATGTCTTCTCTCCTCTCCTACCTCCCGCAGCATGAGGGCTTTCTCCCCAAATGGCTCCTTTTCGTATGTCCCCTCTCTAAGGGCCCCTGGTCCATTCAATATCACTCACCCCTTTATCTCAACTCTCATCAAGGCTTCCCTATTCAATGAGAAAAGTAACTGGAAAAACTAATCGCACAAAACCAAAAACCTGCAGCTCGCCGTCGTCTCCACCTTAAACACCTCCCGCGCCCTCATCAGCCCAACATACACGGCCCTGCTATACAATAATAGCCCATTCAACGCACTGCAATCGCGCACCTTTGGCACCTGGACCTTTATTTCTGCTGTCGTCCGCGCGTACGCTGCCTTCCACATCAACGAGCCTCACATGTACGACCTGGCCATGTGGACGTTTGGAACTGCCTTTGCGCACTTTGTGAGCGAATGGTTGATTTTCGGGAGCGCGAAGCCTAAGGGCCGGTTTTTAAACCCGCTGTGCGTCGCTAGTGGGACGCTGGCGTGGATGGCGACGCAGAGGGGTTTCTATTTGGGATAGGCTTGGGTTTGTCTTGACGTGGGTGGGTGTGGGTGGGTGTATTTTGAAGAGGTGGGGAGTTTGTGTAAGGAACAGAATCTGAGATTATGTACTCTAATTGGGATTTTCAGATCTATTTTTATAGGTAATCGGGTTTACTTGGTATGGTGTTACCTAGGTATATATCAGTGTTGACTGGAAAATTGAAATGAAATAGAGCTATTGTTGTTTGAAGTGTGGTACTACTGGTTTCTGCCTTCTGGATTGGACATCAACGATATATAGAATATAATATCTAGTTATGCTAAAACCACTTCTATACCGAAAAGACTCCTTGACGACATTAATAGATATACACAATCTTCCAATATACATGCCGGTTGATCTATTCCAAAAATTACTGGGGTTGATTGTTTAATGTATCGCGATACAAAGCGCCAGCACAATCCCGAAGTCGAGCAGCTGCTTGCTCAGGCGTGATGTCCCGTTGGGGTTCCGCAAGCATTTCGTACCTATACGACGCCTGGTTAGCCATCATCCAAAGAGAAAATCGCTTCCCTTATTGCTCAGTATATATATGTGGATAGGATACACCAACCCAACCAAAAACTTCCTCACAGACGCACTCCTCAACAACGGAGGATAGAAATGTAAATGCAAATGGGATGCCTCGATTTCCTCTTCAGAACCGCATAGCGGCGCTTGATGGATACCCATGCTGTACGGAAAATGCGTCTCAAACAAGTTATCATACCGCCGTGTGATTTCGGCAATTGACTCAGCTAGTAGTCCCTTTTCCACTGTAGTCAGATCGACAAGGGCGCGCTTATGTTTTTTGCTGATTATCATGGTTTCAAAGGGCCAGGTCGCCCACCATGGACAAAGGACGAGAAACAGCTCATTCTCGAATACCACGCGCTCCTTCCTTCGTGACTCGAGGGTAGCGTAATCCTGCAGCATGTGCCTGCCATTATTCTCATGACGGTATTTCTGCAATTGGGCTAGTTCTATCGTAAGTTCTTCAGGGAGGCAGCTGAGCACCCAGACTTGTCCGTGTGGGTGTGGATTAGAACAACCCATGGTGGAGCCTTTGTTTTCAAATATCTGCATGTAGCGGAGCTGTTTTTTTGGTAGCGTTATTTGAGAAACCGGCGACTCTGGCGATATGGGCGTGAGCGAAGCGGCTGCTGCTAATGGGGATGTTGGCGATAGGTGAGAGACGTATAGATCCGTCCAGGTGTCGATGATAGGCTTGATCTCGGCTGGAGAGAGATCTGCGAGGGTGCGATTGTGACTGGCGGAGAATGTGAGGACATAACATCTTCCCGTGACAGGTTCGGCTTGGAGGAATAGAGAGGAAAGGTCTGCAAGGGGTGTCGGGCCACAAACATCATTAGCAAAGCTAGCACCTCTCAACAAACATCGTATAGAAGGTGAATGAATGGATGGCGTTTTCTTCTACGTACCGTCATGGTCCGATTCTGGTTGATACGCAGCTTGCTCCTCCTTGACCGCACTGAAGTCATTTATGAATATAAACGTGTTCTTGTATTGCGGATTCTGATCACCTTGCGCCCGCTTGTTTCCAGGGCACAAGTAGCAGGCAGGGTCGTAGACTGGCAAAGCGGTTTTGGACGGGGATTCTTGTTGACCCCTATGAATAATTTATTAGAGGCCATACTGTGTACTGACGAATCTCTTGTGTTGGGAGCAAAGCTTACTGCCATGGCCTCTTTGTACGGTGCGGGGATACCAGGACGTAGGAACCACGCAAGATGTTGTATCTTCGATGCGAGATATCGTCGAGAACGGATTCCACCATTTTTTTCTGATAGTTTTCTCTGCTCAGAAAAATTCCGGATGAAGATGCGATTCTCCAAATAAATTAGAAACCAATGAGGATGAAGCGGTTGTGAAGATATTTCAAGACCCTTTTTTCTTTGCAGCCTCGATATTTAACCATCTGATATACTACAGCCGCGCAAGTTCGGGAAACTATAGCAGACCCGCGCGGGGAACTATCCCACCAATGACGTCGAAGACTACTGAACTTTATGAATAGCTTAACGTAACTAACTAGTTAAATAGTTAACTAGCTGTTGTATGACGTTTCTATCATTTACTAGGAATACAAAGAACAACTGTTATTAGTAGGATAGGCTTATAACTATTTCAACGCTAGACATCAACTCACTCCTACGCAAAATTTCTAACTGGACTAGGATCTTTGATGTAAAAGGAAATAGCTTAAATTAAAACCTATATTTTATCTATCAGACTAAATAGTTCTCAGAAACATTATCAAATTAAGTTAAATTAGCCAATATTCGCCAGCCATTCTAATTATCCACACAGTTGCTCAGCTCATTTCTATCAAATTCAAGCCATCATACAGCAGATACTTCATTTTGATGTGGCTCTTTCCACCAAACATGATAGAAAACAGATCAGGCAGAGCATTCGACAGATCTATACCTATGTCAATCGAAGGTCAGGAGCTTGGTCAAGTTTGATACCCGCTTCCTCCACCAGGTGAGGAAACCATCTCAGGATCCTGTCCCGGAAAACTTCGTAACCCGCCCCCATGCGTACGACTCGCATGTTCTCAACATCAAAGTTGACCCCGCCCCGACCGTATATGTGCCACTTCTGCAGGCCGTAGTCAACGATTAGATCGACGCTTTCACGGACGGAGGGTTCAATGTCTTCAACGCGGAACCGCTGCCCTTGACCGGTCAGATTTGCAGAGGTTCCAAACATTAAAATACCCTGAGGGTCTTCGTCACAAAGCCGGCCGAGTTCTTGCAAGAATCGGCCTTCTGGAACGGCAATACTGATCGTATCTCCCTTAGTAACTTGAGAGAACGTGGCCTTGTCCAGAGCTGCGAGGCGCGGGTGCAGGCTATGAGAATTGAATTTCGCGATAAGTCCCACAATCATCCCCAAGTCTTCTGTCACTACACGGGTCATTTCAAATTTCGATTCCGGTAAAACGTGGAGCTCCCGATGCTGTCGATACGTTCCAATAATTCCAATATTATGATTAGGTTGGCGGAGCTTCGAAGCAAAGATCCGCTGGATACCCTCTTGAGTGCTGGTCATGAGTGCATAGCCAACATCCGTCGGGGCGATGATAACACCCCCGGACTTGAGAGTGCCGTACGCTTGTTGGGCATCGTGGGATATACTTGGTGCACTACCTGGAGATGGAACAACGCGAGGCGCCATAGAAAAGATTAGATGCGATCAAATCTGCATAGAGGGAGGGCAAGGCCATGCAAAGCTTTGTTGTGTGCATGCACTGTACCCTCCTCTCCTTGAGTCAAGAAGCAGCTAGGAGTTCTATGAATTTAGAGCACTCAACCATGAGCTAGTTAAACAACACAAGGGTCTACGAATCAGCGTATCAGTTTGAATGGAGCTTTAATCATAAGAGTTGATTGAACATGTTCTAAACCTCGGCCGGATAAGTTAAACTTACGGCGGGGTTCTTCATTCAACCAAAACTACGTCATTCCTCGCTGGATAGGATACCACTGTTGATTTCTGTATTATTTCCTAGACCCTTTCCCTTAAACAACTCCAATCACAACCCAGGATTTCGGCTGGTGAGAGTGAGTGCACTACTAGTGATAGGCCGGAGTGTAAGTGCACAGCATGTTTGTTTTATTTTAAATAATGCAGCTCACATGGATAGTGTTGTTCTATTATTAGTCGAATAACCACCCACCTGGAACGTACATGAATGGGGATGGCAGGTGAGGTTATGATAGGAAGGCAGAAGATCCCTTACACGGATACAAACACCTGAACAGACATCTCGGGCTAATTAACTGTATGGTCTCTTGTTAGTATCAGCCATGTTAACCGCAGCGAAGCCGTCGACTCACCACAGAGCCACGCTCCTGTCTCTTCCAAACGAGGTATGTACTCCGCGCTTTATTTAACAGCCAGCCAAACTTCCTGAATTCCCATTGCAATCTACATCTCTCAAGTAACAATTTTATTGCCAGCTCATCCAACTTATTCTCGATCTCTTCCCGATCCGCTCCCTCCTCCCTCTAACCCTTGTCTGCCATCGCATCCATGACATCATCACGCGCCTCATCCATTACCGCCTGAACGCCCTCGTCTCAGCTATCGAACCCGATAACATATTCCTCGAATGCTACCACCCAGTCTGCAAACCCGTAGGGCGGTATTTGAAATGCGCGCATTTGCACACTGACGTCCTAACTAACGGCGCATGCCCCCACAGCAATGACACCACACAGAATGACTGGCATCTCCATCGCAGCCAAATTGACTCGTCAAAGTTTTCATCAGTAGGATATCTGGGCCGTTTGAAAGAGTCCTACACCCACTTTCATCCGCTGTGTCATACTGGACCGTGGATCAACACCAACATGCACACGGCTCCTCCGCCGCGGTACATACCAGTGGGCTCTCTGAGTTCGGAACAAACTCATAGCACGCTCATCAGAGGCTCCATTTTTCTTGATGAGAATGAGTTATTCTCGCAGCTTATTACAGGAATTTGGCTTGGGAGACAGAATCGGCAGATATGTCTACTTGATGGTGGTGTTTTAAGACTTTGGAGACAGTGGTTGGGAGATATGGATAGGAGAGGGAAATTCGCAGGAAAAATGGCATCGACAAGCCCGGCCAAAGGCTATGGTGGTGGTGGTGGTAAGAGTTACTATACATTGGAGGTAGGGAGCGAGAATCGTGGTGGAGAGTCACCGGTTTATCCCTTGGAAGACCACAGCGTCGTCTGGCTTGGAGAAAAACGGGCTGGACTCAAGTTTCGCGCCTGTCAACAGAGGCGAACGGAAAACCTGTCGTTTACAGATGATTCTGGGAGTGATGAGGCCGATGAAGGCGACAATGACGATGGGAATAACCCTGTCTGTTACGACGTTGAGATTGAAGGTTGGTATCATATTCTTAACTGCCTTTAATGTTTTAATCAATCGCTTGAGGCCTTTAATTTTATTGCACATCTTTTTTTTACAATTGAATTTTAACCTTGTGATCAGAGCTTCTTGTGCGGACTACGACCCTCTTGCTGGCGGCGGATAAGGGCTTTTGGGTACAATAATGGTTGGGATACTTAGATTTCGGTATAAAATCGCGCCCACGCATATAGGGGCAATGGAAGGTTGGGTTAGTTAGGGGAAGCGATTGATTGCTGTAGTTAAATAAGGTACCTAGGTAATTCTAGATGTGTTAAAATTATTATTTTTATTAGAGCAATTACATCATCCTAATGTTGAACAGACAAGCATTCCTTCCAGTCTACCAAGCCGGTCTATTTAGCTACCCAGGGTTTGGGGCCTCATAGCAGATGAAACTCAAGAATTTCCCCCTTTCCCTAATTCTCGAATTTCAAGCCTCCCTCCTCTCTCACCACCCCATGAATGGTCGAAAGGTCTCCCTTCTCCCCCTTATGCTTCTTGATACCTTGCAAATACCCATCCCATCCGCCAGCTCAAGCCCTTTCATCCCCACACCAACAGCGCTCGCCACATCCATTGCATGCCTCGCATCCCTCCGGGCCAAATCTATCGCAAACAACGGCTCCTCACGCCTATGGTATTCCCCCAAGCGCATGCGGTTGGAATAGGCGACATAGGAACCCGGATACATCAGTTCGAGAAAGTTGTGCAGTGAGTCAACACCAAGGCCAGATTTCTCAGCTATCGTCATTGCCTCGGCGACTGCATCCACCATATTTAGGCCTAGCGAGTTACCTAGGACTTTGAGCAAGCTTGCTCGTCTAGGGTCTACAGCTGGCTCCTCCTCGTCATTATCGTCATTGCCAGCTGGGCCACCGGTTGGTGAAGTTGACAGGTCTAGATTTGCCCGCCCCATAACGCCCGCGCAGAATGGCTTAACCCTTTCCACCAACTCCATCTTCCCAGCCAGCACGCATATCAGTTATCCTGCATCAGCGACGGGAGGGGTGCCAAAGACAGGGCATGCCACGAACAACCCTCCATGTGACTCTACTAAGTTTGCTACACGCCGTGTAGTGTCCGGGTGTACCGGTGAGCAGTCTATGAATAGCTTTCCGGCTATGTTGCAGGTGCTTATAGCTGTTTAAAGTGTTTCAATGACGGCGTGATCGTCTGAGAAACAGGTGAAGATGATTGTGGAAGATCCGACGGCTTCTGTGACGGTTGGGGCAATGGTGACGGGTCTGGCCAGCGTGGAAGCTACGTCCCTTGCGCGAGATTGGGTTCTGTTGAGACTATTAGGGGAGTTTGGAGGGGATATTTGGCGACGAGGTTCCTGACCATCCCCTGGATCTGAAGTGGGTTTGGTTAGTTGTATACAAAGCTATTTCTTGGGCCTTTAAATATAGCTCGACATACCCGTCCCATATTCCCCAGACCAATCCAGGCTACTTGCTCTGCCATGTTTTGTTACTGGCAAGGAATGTATGCTATTTTTTGAGGGGTGTTGTCGATGATTGAGCAGTTGTTGCTGTTCAATGCTGCTGGTCACGCCTATCTGTCTCTCTCTGCTACAACCTATCCTCAACTCCCAAGTCATCATAGCTGCCGGAGCCTCATATATCTCTGAACCCTCTCTCTAGTGTGGCAAACTTTGCTATTTCTTGAAAATAGAGGCCATGAGTTCTGTTCTCATTATCATAAGACTCAATTTCCATAATTCGGTTTGAGCTTTTTACCTGCCAAAATTTCGAGGAATTGAAAACTTGGCTTCACTCTTCTCACTTCTTAAAGCTCTTCAGATTGCACTACTTACTACTTTAACAGGCCCTTCCCAAATCTCGCTGCCCGCCACACCGTCCTGTACACACCCATCACCACTAGAAACTAGATCTTTGCCCAACAATTTATCCAGCGAGTCCGCTACTAGGGGTGCGATGTTTGGCAAACTGTGATATATTCAGGGCGCCAAGGTAGGGGTAGAATTTACCAGATATGCTCCAATTGCTGCTTCCATGCGCCTTCAGGACACTCAGAGAGGGACAAAAGCGAAGGGATTCGGGCCTTCTGTGCGCTCGCGCTTGACGGAATTGGAATTTTATATGCACCCCAGGTGTTGTTAATATGAGACTGGTTCACATCCGGAAATCGCTCATCTGCAGAATATTCCTCTGTACTCACTAGAAAACCAAAGAAAGAAAAGAAACTACAATAACAGGGCTAAATTCCTCCTTAGGAGTGAAAAAAACAGGGGAGGAATGTTTTGACTGACACATGATGGTTGATATTTTAATTGTCAACGATATGTGAAGACAGACGTTTCTAGATAGAGAGAAACATGCCTCCCATAGATCCAGGACGGGCAGATTCCCCTAAGCTGGTGCAGTCGGGCGCTGCTAACTCGGGATTCATTCCTCACTGGATCCAGATGACATCAAAGTATGCGTCACGCGGTGGGCAAACCGATGTATAGGTCGACATCAGACATCCATCCCCAGCGTAATATCCGAACCGAGCGTGAATGGTAAAGCCTTTCCCTTCTCGTGAGGCTCTGGTACTAGGGTTGCAGCCGTATTCTCTTCTCATAGAAGTGATTTCTATAGTATCTAGGGGTGTTGTTGGGCAGTATCAATGTATCGACCGTCAAAGTTTGGAGGCTAATAGAGGCTCACTGTGCGGGCTGGTTAGTTAGCCTTGAAAGTGGGTGAATTAGACGATGGATGTAGTATATTTCAAGGATTCGAAATAGGAGTCTTAGATCAGTAGCGTCGAGTGCTGTGAATCGGATCCCGCATATGTGCTGTCTAGACGGCATCCTCATGTACTTCAGGTGTTCCGGGGCACACTGAGACGGAAGTTCTAGGATTTCGATGGAGGTCCTCATGATTTGCCGGTGGCCGGGAGTCAAAGGTCAAGCAGCAGAGTTTCAGCAAGGGGAGCCGTCATAGATGATAGAAAGCAAAGAGCGGTGATGCCTTCCATAACAGATAAGAACAGATCTAACTGTTTATACCCAATGTGTTTCCATCTAACCGTCCGTTGCCCGGGAAGATGTTGTTGGTAAGGTATCCTTTGGCACAGATTGCCTTCAGCCACATGACATGTCATTGGGGAAAATATCCTATGGGCGAGAAATAACAGAATCGATTGTGAAGCGTGGGCAGAACCCAATAATATAGAAACCAAGGGATGTCCTGCTGATGATATCTATATTTGCTTTTTCTATTCTGGTGGTCCACTCCATCAGCACACACACACACACACACAGTAAATGAAACAATTGGACTATCTGGGCAACTTGCTACCCACTAACATCTTCAGCATAGGGTTGACAGCAAGGAACTTGTGTCCCATAGTGAATAGGAAACGACCCAGAAAATTGGGCTGGTTCCTTGGATTTCGGGGGAACAGATGATAGGGTTCCGGTGCATACAACGAAGAGCCACATGCAGTCGTGATATCCTCCGTAGGCCGTGGACGATTGAAATAAGGCCTGCGCTAACTGCTGTGCTTCTCAAAAGTATGTATTGATGACCACGTCGAGCCGGCTAACATGATGGCTACTGTAGGAAGTCTGAATAGATGCGCCGAGGATATGGAGATGTCGCAGCTGTATGGCCTGGATGGGGTATCAATTATGCATATTCATAACAGCCAGTCCTTCATTGTGGACGAGGCAAACGAGAGCCAAATTGACTCTGCACTATGCACCTGTGGGCGCGCTGAGGAAATCCAAAGCGGATGCTGGATATTTCCAGGCCAACCACATATCAACTTATGAAATGGCAAAGGGAAGCAAAGCATCAGACGTTGTGCACGGAGAAAACGGTGATGCATTTTTTTACTATCAAACAGCGAATCAGTCGTGTCACCGTCGGGCGCAACCAGGCTAATTGGCGGAGAATTACCCTCTTTGCTTGACCAGCAGAGAAGACATGCACACAGCAGACGAATCTGTGGGGTACAACGACAGAAACAAACATTGAAAGGGACAAAGTAGCTGCAAAACGAGGGCGGCTAATGAAGACGCGAGGAATTTATCCCGAATGGTGTGAACAGGGCAATCTACACAAGGGCCTCGATGGTCCTAACAAGAGCGATATTTGACTGACGAGCTAACCCTGGCTGCTCAAATTTAAATAAGAGGACCACAGACAGATAAAAACGGATGAACGAGAAGCAGTTTCTCGTCAATGGCAGCAGTTGGGCAGCCAGGGCGTTAACGAAGTTTGGTTGATCGAGAGTTTGAGACAGACGACGCCTCGATAGGCGCAGGCCAAGGGAGATGTGGCTGGCTCGCAACTATTATAGCCAGCGCTGAGGGAGGTTGGATGAAACAAGATCGCAGGTTTGTTTCGCATCTGTTTGTTATTTACAATATTTTGTTTTTATAGACAAGATCTATAATATATAATGCGGCACGAGACCAGGCAAGCTGAGCGCGGAAGTTGCCACTGTGAGCGTCATTCATCCCCCTCGCTGGTCGAGAGATAACTAGTAATTAGTTAGGCTTCACCCGCAACCTCCAGGTCGTTGTTCGGCTAAATATTTAGTTGAATATCTATGACTACGTCCACCTCCATCCTGGAGGAATAACTCTTCTCACGACCGAACCGGCACCGTCCTCTTGCTTGTGAATTTATATACCGCTTGCCTTGCCTTGCCTCCCCCTTGTTCGTTGAAGCACCCCGCGATATTCTTACCAAGGTTCTTGCACCAAAATAACTTCGTCCCCGCTTCATCCTTACCAAATCAAATCTCAGTCCCTGGTTCATCCCCGCCTCAATTTCCACGATAGCAGATTTGCTTTCCGTCTGTGTCATCCCGAGAACTCAAATAACGAGTCTCCACTCCGGGCTCATCAATAACTTTTCTTTTATGTCTCGCCGCGGCGATTCGTCCTCCGCCAGCACCAGCAGCTCTGGTGGAGGCGGAGGGGGAGGTAGATGGGATGCTGCCCGCTTTTTTAGAGAGCGCGAGGAACGACAGGAGCCCCACTCTCGAGAGAGACGAACACAGATCGTTGACCGACCTCCCCCAGCTGAAAGACGGAGACGGGACGTCGACGAGTTACTCCAGGCTGCACATGAACGCTTCGGCCCGCCCGCCAGGAGGCCCGGTCGAACCTACAACGATGAACACCTTGTCCCATCTTCAGGCGCCATGATTCCATTCCGTGAGAGAGAAGAGCGAGACCGAAGCCCCCCAGTACGCCCGCAGCTACTCCGTCGCCAATCATCACTGGATACTTTTGACCGCGCGGCTGCTCGTCGGGGTTATGACAAATACGATCGCGAAGACTATGGTCCGCCGGTGACCCCAGTTCCTGTCCCACATCGGAGACGCACACCGCCCACTCATGAAAAGGTGGACTTCGAGGAGATCAGAGTTGCGGAGCCGGAGTATTATGGGGATGAAGAATACCACCGCATCCGAATGCGGGACAGGAGTGTAACTCCGCGACCCCGCGGGCGGAGCATTCCTCCTTCCCCCCAGTCAGTGGAAGTGAGGGAGATTCGGCCATCAACTGCCCCACGTCGAGGCAAAACCCGTATGCCCAAACGTTTAGTGCACCCTCGGGCCATTATTGATCTTGGCTACCAATATGAGGAAGAGGTGAGAAATCATTCTCTGCTACCCACCTAAAGTCAGGATTATTTAATGACTAGAATACTAACTGGCAATATGATATTTAGGAGGATGCCTACATCATTTTCCAAGCATTACAGGAGGCCCATATAGAGGACTTGGTAACCCGGAGCAGAGAAGTTAGGCGGACAGCCAGTACGTGCAGCACCATCATCATAGTTTAGTGACCCCGTGTTTTGGGAGTTTGTTTCCCAGGGATTCCAGCTAACAATATCCCTCTAATACAGCAACGACGGAAATTACAGACACACTGACCGTTGGCCATCCACGGGACAACCTCAGCATAGAAAGACGGCGGTCAGTCTCAAGGCGGCCTGCAACAAGAGTGGTTGAACGGTCTCGATCACGCCGGCCGTCCGTCTCACGACCAGAGCCTGCTCCAGTACGCCACCACCGCCGCCGACGATCCTCGCCTATCCGGATCATTGAACCCAGAGATGTCGTTTTTGAGGATGTCATTGAGCCCCGTGCTGATGTCGCGCTCATCGTACCTGATCGTCGACGGTTAGGGAGAGATACGCAAGCGGAAACCCGGGCATTGGATCGGGAGAGGCGGGCTTTGAGGTCTGAGAGGGAGGGAGCTTTGGATGTTGAGGAAACTCTCGATGTGCGGCGGGAGCCTAAAGGTATATTCTTATCTTACTTGCTCCTAACCCCATTCCTTCCTCTAAACCGTTTACGCTTATGTTTTTGAAACTAATATTGTGGGTTTTAGCTCCAAGCCCTCGACTGATCAGAGCGATGATGGCAACGTTGACATGAAGGGTTGATTGCGAGCTCAATCACCCACTTCTCCTCATCGGAATCAGCCGCATTCTCGTACTGTTTATGCCAAACCTGACGGGAATGTCCCCATCAACGACAGATGAGTGTGCAGACTCTGTCCTTCATGATTTCTTCTTGTCTCTACGGCATGCTAGTGTATATGCTCCCCTTCGCCTGTTCTATTGATCTGGCGTAATGTAATTCTTATGTTTTCTATCGATGTAACCAACCAACCCCATAGCTATTACCCATATATAGCCATTTTAAATTTAATATATGTGAATGAACACGAATTCATTCCCCGCGGCTTAGGTACTATGCATGGATGTATGATACGAGTCCCGTCTGTTATAATAAATACAATCAGGCAGCGGGACCACATGACTTAGGGCCAACGGTGCTGTGTCCCAAAACGGATAGTTTCCCCGGCGTCGTAGCTGAAACTGACGTCCATCCACAGCTTCACCCTAACCACATCAATAATATCAAACATTGGCCAGATAACATCTCGCACAAAAGGGAGGGCCTCCTGTCTCTATATACTCCTCTTTAAAGTATCCTACATACTGAGTTGTCGCCGAGGCCAATCCCCCTCCCGCAACCATGGACAAAGTACAGGCCTTCGGGAAGAACATCAGGTAACATTTCTCCTCTCCTGACTTGGCGAGGCACTGTAGTTCCAATTCCAATACACGCGATGCATATGTACCCGTTTCCCGCAACCAGTGAGCGTTTTATGTTGTTTGAGGATTCTCATTTCTGACCAATGGGCGTCTTTGCCTGCGTTTTACACAGTGCGTCGTTTACCCCTTTCGCAGCTAGAACGCAGCAATATGTCAAGGAACAACTTGGCACCGCCGATGAGAAGGTACGTCGTCTCCTTACTCCCGCAATGCGCAGATTGGCCTGGACACCCCCCCGTGTTGGTTGACCCGCGATATCTTTCCTAGACACAACTTCCCGATGATTATATCGAGCTCGAGAAGCGTGTGGATGCGCTGAAGCTGGTCCATCAGAAGCTCCTGCAGGTTACGTATGTAAATACAGTCCATATCTGGGTGTTATTCAATTCGACGATATCTATCCTCTTCTCAGATCAGAATCTAACTAATACTATATTTAATTTTGTACAATTTCTAGCTCCCAATACTCCAATGAGCCTTATGATTACCCTCCCAACATTCGAGAGTCATTCAACGACCTTGGCCGCACCATCAGCGAGAAAGTCCAGCTCCTATCCCATGCTACCTCCCCCGCCGAAGCCCAGGCGGCTCTCACGGCGCCTCCATCCGCCAAGCCCCAGCCAAAAACGTTCAGCCATGCCATTGCCCGTGCCTCCCTGGCTGGTTCGCAGTTAATCAGCCAGACCCACCCTAGTGGTTCAGAGGACCCTCTCGCCATCGGCTTGGAAAAGTATGCTCTGGCCGCTGAACGGGTTGGTGAGGCACGGCTTGCCCAGGATGCTCAGATCCAGAGCCGATTCTTGGCCGGCTGGAACACCACGTTGAACACCAACCTGATGTTCGCCGCCAAGGCCCGCAGGAACGTCGAAAATGCGAGATTGATGCTTGATTCGATTAAGGCTAGGAAGGGTGTCTCGAAGGGAGATTTGGACAGCCTCAGCGAGGAAGATCGGGCTGAGATTGAGCAAGCTGAAGATGAGTTTGTGGGCCAGACTGAGGAGGCTGTTGGCGTGATGAAGAATGTGAGCCTTTTTTTTTTTTTCGCGCGCTTTTGATAGTTTCGTGCTTCATCTCCAGTTGGTATATTTTACTGACGAAAGATTTCAGGTTTTGGATACGCCCGAGCCACTCCGGAATTTGGCAGATCTGATCGCGGCTCAGCTGGAGTACCACAAGAGATCTTACGAGATCCTCAGCGAGCTTGCCCCAGTTGTTGATGGGTTGCAAGTCGAACAAGAGGTTCGTGATTAGCTTTTAAAGTTCCATCTCAACCGCTATCAAAATAATTAGCCCCCTTCGCTATTATTTCACCCCTCGTCCCATAATATTAAACGCTTACCCCACTTTCGTCACAGAATACATTCCACTAATTGCCCTTCAACCCTACCAACAGGCTAGCTACCGCAAAAGCCGAGAAGGAGCGTAAACCTCCCGAAGAAGGCTGGATCTCTCAAACAGCTCCCACTCCTGTCCGTTCTGAAATTTCCAATTTGATATTCAAGATACTTTCCTCCATATTAGGTTAGACATTTCAACTTGATAGTCGATCGACAGAGGAATCTTTCAGACTTGCATAAGAAGGGGTATCCGCCTCAATTTCTCTCCAATTGGAAATCCCTCGCACACCACTCAATTTCTCATAACCTCAACGGGTTCCCCTGCCCAGCGAGTTAACGGTTTTGGAATCTGTGTCTGTGTCTTTACTCCCTTGTTCCTTTTCCGTTTCATACTATTTTCCTTCTCTCAAGCTGTTGCCGGTCGACCTATGGGGGTATCAGACGGTTTTTGTTTTCTTTCCTTTTTTGTCCTTTATTCCTTTTGTTTTTTTCGTTGTATAAGTGAGTGTCCTACCCCTATGTATATCCAGCTTCCTGTTTCCCTCTTTCCCATTTCTTTGTCTTGGTTTCATCTATTTATTCTTATGTTGCTTCTCCTCAATTTTAACACTTGCCTTGCCGATTTCGGCTCTCTTTTCTTTTTTTGACTCGTGCCCTGTAATGCTACCATGGCTGTGAAACTTATTTATTCTCCCCATCTGCGCGTTATTAGTATGCTCTCTTGTAAATTCGTCCTGTCAACTTGTAAGGGGGGGTTATCGCCCTTATACTATCTATCCACTTCCAACGTGGCAATTCTACTCAAAAGCACAGAGAAGCGTTGAACCCGTTCTCTCGGAAGAATATCCTTCCTATCACTCCGTGCGGATGACACGCGCTGTTTGTGGCCTGGTGTCCTATATACAGGTGATACCTAGACTATTATGAGCATCATAGGCCGGCTTTCCTAAAGGGTGACGCATGCTCGGAGCGCAGAGTTGCTCACCATTCTGCACAGGATATCTAATATTCCCATAATATCCCTCATTTGAATTAATCTCCAAGCTTAAGCTAACAGTTTACCGCGCTGTGCAAGATACATATTACTCTCAGCCCGGCTCATTATAATAATAGAGACATTACAACCCGAGATGGCATTAAAAATCGCAGACTGCGTCTGGGTCCGACACGCGAGGCCACATACCACTATACCAAGATATATTCGAAACCCCGATAAAGAATCCCCCAGACGAGGTGACATCGATCGTCCAGCTGTTCCTCGAGTTAAACGCACCCAACCGCACCAAGGAGCTTATCGTCAAGCTGCTTCAGGGGCACTCGGGCCAGGCCTGTTCTCCGGAGAGGGTTATCGGGAGGACACACAAATACTCTGTTCGGGTACGGGTTCCCCTTGCGGGGATTTGACCTGATTACGATTTCGTCCGGCCGAATTTGGTGGTCGTCGGAAAGCAAGCGATATTGATTCAACGACGTGACGGATCCCATAAAGAGGAATCCTCTATCGTGGTCTTTGGGCCACAATGGTGCCCATTGCATGCCATTTTTGGGGTCATCTCTCACTCCCTCGGCGACCAGATCAAGAATCATGCAGTGCTGAAGGCGGTCGGCTTTGTTTAAGTCATTCTCCAGTATCAAATAATCCCCTTTACCCTTTTCGCTTTTAAACCGTGCGTCGAACTTATAGATGGCCTCCTCGATGTCGCATAGCAGATCGACATGTACCATGCTTGGAGTACAGCTGCTGTTCTCTTTCAAACTAAACTCGTATGTGGTTGTTGTTCCGTCGGCTCTCGCCCAGGTTTCCTGATAATTTTTCTCGTAGGTCCCCGAAACTTTGACAGTGAAGCCTTCGCCGACTCCAATATCCGCGCCAACTGAGCCACCGATTTTCCATCCCACGCTGTTCGTGTAGGTGTCGAGAAAAGTCACGGTTCTCGAGATCTTGCAAGCCTGCCCCTTGCCACAGACAATTGTTTTCTCCAAGCCTATCACATCAGAGAGCACAGGCTTGCACGTCATGATTCTGGGATATGTGATGTCTAGCCCCCAGTACTTGAAGTACAACCCTGGTCCTGTTGTCTCGTTTTTGGCCATCCTCTCTACCCTGAAGTATTTCATTATCGCCAAAGGGGTGATCATTTTCGGCATGCGAGAAAGATAGCGCTCTTCAACTACACGCCTCAGATCCGAAGGCGTATCGTCCACCGAGTCCCTTGGATCCCAGGAGTGCAATTCTGCTGCTCCTTGGATCTTTCCACTCCCAAAACGTTAGCTGTAGAAGCAGGTAAAGCGGAATAATTTGGGAGTAGTTATCACCTTCTCATCCACAAGCATCGCAGAGCCAGACACTGCCCAGAGAGCAACGCCCAGCCAAACGAGAGTATATCCCAGCATGTCTAGTAACAATAATTAATATCGTTGCAGAGGGTTATTGTACCAAAAGAATAAAAGAATGATTTGCCTATTTACTGAAAGACTTGTTCGTATCGTGGTTAGGGCAACAGACCGATATATATATTCTATTTCAATTCCCCACCCCTACCCCCTCCGCGCTCGAGCTCCTTTTTTCCCCTCTGCCACTCAGAATATTGCCAGTCCAGAATATAAGAAACTGACGATCGAACAGAATAGGGAAAAAGGCAACCAGCCACAACGGAGCAGAGCTGCATCAATTCCTACAGGGAGATAACATGGCTCAAAATTGGGCACCATCTTTGGATGCTATGATGCCTTTCCCACACCTGAAAATATGAAATTTGAACCGTCTCGATTGGTTAAATAGATATAGCGCAAGAGTTATTGTTATTATTTTCTTAAACAAGGTTCGTGAAAAGGATCAAATTAGAGCATCCTTGCTTGCTGCATATGAATCACACCAATATTTACAATCAGATCGGTTTATTGGCTCAACGAGTTAAGGATTTACATGACGTTCTGCTTAGATAGAATCAAAAAATTGGACACTCGGCCAGGTCAGAGGGTGGTCCTAGATCAATCTACAAGGAGATTTTCCCAATATTTTTGCACTCATCCTGACTTACATTTTATATTTTGGTCCGATTGTCGTCCCAGTTTTCCCCTTTCCCTTCTCGTGCGCCTTTCTTTCTTTTCCAAAGAGTAACAACAATGAATAAATGTGAGCATGAACCATGGGTAGGAACGACGTGCAACGTCGGAATCATTACCAAGGCGCTGCTGGACTAGCCGCCAGATGTTTAGGTTTGTTATGTGCATCCACGGGATGTCAAAATCAATTCCTCACGTTCGTAAACACTGAGAAATAAGATTTGTCGATCACAAGAGACGCCAATCCTTGGGCACAACGGGTTTACTTGTTCATACGCTGTAAAGATCTTCTGCGCATCCGGGATCCTCCCGCAAACATTGAAAAGCGCCCCATAACTCTAATATCTCCAGATAGTTCACCGCAGATAAATGCCCATTCACCTTGCTTCGCAGATGTGACCTATCCTTCAGGATAGCATGAGGCCAAAAAATTCGCCACTGCGATGGGGTCTCTGACCCATCGTTAGAATCCGGTAGGAGACGGCCATCGTATCCTCCGCTTCTTCCCTGGGAGAAATGCTAGCTAGCTTTCTGCTATCTCCGCTAGTGACGCGTAAAGTCCTCCGAGAAACAATCCAAAATTGCCCAACTTTCTTCTGCTTCAAAAAACCTTTCGTGAGTTTCAACCCCGTCAGGACCTCAGCTAACAGCTGTATTTGAGTGAGCTCAGAGGGTAGTTCCGTGTTGAATCGGGGTTCGGCAGGAAGACTTCTAGAGAAAAGAACGTTAACCATGTCTTGTCATTAATGATCGACTTGCTCTCGGAAAACTTTCTGCTCTGGAATATTAGATAATGACAGCAGATGGTCAGTCTGGGGGTGAGAAATACTACACATCATATTGTACTCAACTAGTGCATTTTATTCCTCCATGATGAAAGAAAAGAAAAGAAAATTAGGTTGCAATACGGCTCGACATTGTAGAAATTCAACTCGAATAGTATATAGCTCATTTCGAGAAACGCACGCAAGTTTTGATCATTGATAAAACTCGCCCTTCTGTATAATGTTCTGGAGGGGGAAGTCCATGCTAAAGTAGTGAACACAATCTGAAAGAGCGTATAAAAATCGAACCCATCCAAATCAATCCCGGCATAGGGCGCGGAGACGGATCTTTCAAGAACAGGATGAAACTATAACGAATCATAAACTCTCGGCGAAGCTAGACAGATTCGTAAGTTAAACCAGCTCCATTGGACGTGTTGAGATCCATTTTTGCAATAGCCGCACGTCTCCTACGTCTTGTCTGTCCCCTTGCAATATATGTGTCATAGGAATGAGGACATAGCGGAACCGTTGGCCGAAAAGAGTGGAGGCACAGTACAGTACAGCACAGCATTCAATTCAATGACGGGATATGATGAGCTAGATAACGGTCATGGAAGGGGTTTGAACGGAAGTCTCCGTAGATTTGAACCATCGTACCGGCGAGATGAAATCTTAGCAATAAAGTAAAACATGTTGGAAGACCACATAAACGAATCTTCCACATCTACTTGTGCGTATGTTGCCCAGAAGTTAGCAAAATATCTTCGATGGTTTCTAGGAAGACGGGTTGGAGTTAAATATTTACTTATGTAATCCACCCATCCTGCCCCGATAACATCACGGCCTCCGAGCTCCAGCTTCACGTCCATCTCACGCAGCGCATATAACATAACAGCTTGAGCGGCGCCGTGTTCAGTTCCACCATCCCATCAAATAGTCCCACTGTAATCTTCTGCCCCTCCTGGGCCCCTGTCCTGCTACTCGTCCGTGCTCCGATTCCTCCGTCAACGCCGTACTTCCCACCTACCTCCCAACTCCGCCCACAGCTGCTGAACCTCTGCAGTTGTAAATATATGAAGATCCGATAGTTATTTACTGCACACTCACATGCAAAGCATGGCGAACGGGTATGCCACTACGCTCCGCGTTTCAGCTTGCTTCTCCGTCATCAGGCTAACCAACAACACCCACCGGCGCTCTCCGCTGAGCACCGGGGCAATGTTTGCAATGATATAGTTGGAGCATAATTATCGGACTCGTCTTTGTGGTCATCGCGAACCTGCTGGCTTGGGTATTCAGTCCGAAGGGAGAGGATAGAACGTTAGTGCATACTTCCCCTCCCGCTACCGCCTTATTTCTCTTTTCGATTTACTCCGATGGGATTGGAACGTCTGGTGGGGAGGGAAGAAGATAGCATTGGATAAAGCGTGGGACATGTGTGGTTTGTTTGGGCATTTTCGGGAAAGAATGGATTGTCGAGCGAGTCTCTTCGAATACCGTCAAATGCATGGGAATGTTGGTTTCCCAGGCCCGACATCAAGGTTTCTAAGAAGCTCAGAGTCAACACCAAACCAGTCAACACCAAACCACGCGCACGTTCCGTTGAAGTAGATCAAACGAGACCACCCCGACATTACCAGCGAAGAGATCACATATTCCACCCCATATCCACCCATCGCTTCAGCACCATATCAGACAAGCATTCTTATCAGTAAAGAAAAACCACTAACATTTATCACAGGGTATGGCGCAGCTCGTTAATACTCGCATTTACAGCCTGCTATCTAATGTGGGGTACGTAAATACATCATCCATCCATCAAATTCTTACTGTTAAAAGCTATACTCGCCATTCGTCCGATTTGTAATGGAAACAGACAATCTAACTATGCCTCTTGCATATAGCAATAACGTTCCTCGCACAATTACATCCATTAATCGCGCCGAAGAGAAGTGACATGCGGCCTGATAGGATACCGCACTGAGGGAGGGAGGGAAAAGAATGCAGATTGTAGTGACTGTGGATTCCTTGTTGATTATTTTATACCTTTTTGCTGTCGAGATTCGCTGGGTTTTTACTATGTGAATCTATTCCTTAGCTTTATTTTTATTTTATTTTTCCGGCTGGTTATCCGAGGCCCTTTTCATTGTTTGGTTATTGGCGTGCATTGTATATTACTGCATGCCCGAGACGAATGATTAATTTCGTATCAGAGGATCGGAATGCTAAAGATAAACCGTGTTTATCGTTTGAAATAATGCAAACATTAAGTATTTGCCTAAAGACGAGGCCTGGATGCATTCGCTAAGAAGAGTAGGTAACTACAGAAGTAAATAGTAGCGAAAAGATAGTTGTCCATCAAAGACGGATAACAAACAGAGAAAAAAGCCAAATCCTAAACTCCCAGTGCTAATCCCAACTATACATATAACCAACCACCCGGTAAATACATATATTAAAATTAATTCGACCGTAAATATATAGTCAGGTTAACCTCCGTTCCCTTCCCTTGTTTTCAGTGTGCATGTCAATCACAACCCCACAGCTCCCAACAGCGTCTTTTCAACAAGCCATCTCGCTAACTGACCACTAAGCGCTAGGATAGCTGCCCGTATATATCCGCAATCAAGCAGTATGAAAAGTGCCTCGGTATTATTCAATAGGACGAGGTGGGTGTTTGTTATAGACAGAACGAGCGAGAGGAGCGGGTCGAGGATAGAAGTGGAGAGGGATGATGACGTAGATGTAGGCGCTGATATTGATGAGGGAGAGGGCGAGGATGTGAGTTGGAGCTGCTGCTGCTGTTGCGGTACAGTAGATATAGAGGATGAGGAAGGTGAGATGTACTTCGTGACTGTGGATGCCAATAAGTTCGCTAGCATTCTTGTCGCTGTGCCCAACGCGGAAGCTGGTGTGGTACTGGCAACGTTACCGTTGGCGTCATGTGTTTCCGGGCTCCAGATCACGAGCAGGATTGGGAAAAGCTTTGTACAGCTGCTGACGAGAAGCGCAGTGCTTATGGAATTTGGACTAGCGGGGCAAGGAGGTGGCATGGGATCGATCTGGAGAGGTGATGCAGACATTCGGCGGATGGGAGGTGGTGGAGTAGGGAGGTTATTTGTGGAGTTATGATTAGGTTGATTGGAGGATGGAGGGGGAGGAACAGCTCCATTATTAGATGCCGCGTTGGCAGTGGGTACTTGGTTCTGAGGTTGAGATTGCGAAGGCGCAGAGGTAACAGAAGGACTGGGTGGAATTACATCCCCATTATTGGCGTCATTGAGGGTAGTGGTGATGGGCTGTGGACGTGGGACGAGAAACGAAGCAAGGAGACGAACAGTAACATGATGCGCAATCGTTGCGAGGGTGTTCAGCGTAAGGAAGAATATATACTGGACGATGATGGGAGCTGTGGAGAGGGGAGATGCGGAGAGGGCGTCGGACTTCTCGACTCGTGCCCAGGATAGATAGACATCAAAGAGCAATATTAACGTTCCTAGGCGTATAATAGAGCGCTAGAGGAGAATATTATTATCCATTGAACAGAGAAAAAGAATGCGAAACGAGGTAAACTGTGGGAGAGGAGGGGATAGAGTGTGGCATACATCGAACTTGTTGTCGGATCTCCCTAGGCGGTTGAAGAGCAGATGGCGATACACCTAGCGAATCGAAGGTAAATTTAGCCCAGTATCGCAACAGCGCAAATATCGTACACCAGGGATATATTTACCTGAGGTTTTATCAAGACCAGATCAATGAAGAGCACTACAAAATCGTGCTCGACATACTTGTCTGCAAACCGTTTGCAGCGCGGGCATTGGGTCAATCGCACGCCTTTGCCAAGTGAGCGGTCATCGGCCTTGCTGTAGGAGGTGTAGAGATGTGAGACGGGGCAGCAGCATTCGATACATATTGGCATGGTGGAGGCTGTGTCTCATATTCGCGGAGACAAGTCCAGTCTCTTCATCCGGTGCTGCTCTAGTTGTTCCCAGATAATATTGCAGTTGTTGAGATTGTTTGCGGCTACGACTTTGTATGCAATAGGATGCGGTTGGTCCGTGCACTGCACTGGGGGAGATCCAGGCTTGCCCGAAAAGGCAATTTGCTGTTGGCGGGAATTCTGACATCTTCATTCTGGTTTTGCTATGATCAAACCAATAATATATATATATGCCCCTAAAAGAGCAATCCAGGGGATGCTGCTATGGAGATAATATTCGGAATGATATATAATCCACTACTAACCATTATCCCGAATATAGAGTACAGAAGGGTATATAGCTAAATTTTCATCTATAATCACGACGATTCAAAAATAAAGGCATGCGCAAAAGAATATATAAATGTATTTACTCGACCACATGCTTATTGTCAGCCCAGCTAGGCTCAATCCCCCGACAAATACCCTCATAATCCCGAAATATCCTATCGTTCTCCGGCACATCATCAGTCGTCCAGAACATGGTCCAATTCGACCCGGGAAGTTTCCACGTCCCCTTAGCCCGCTCGAAATACCACTTATTCACTGGATTATCACGACGGCTCCGCCAGCACACGCCCTTGGGCAAGCATGTTCGAACCATTGCGTTAAATACAATGTCCGCCACACCGCCCGCCCCCTGACTCCGTTTGAGAACGGCGAATTTATCAAGATAGGGAACCATTCGTGATCGACTCTCCTCGCTTCCGTCGTTGGGTACACCTGGCGGGAGTTCCCAGGTTAAAACAGCTCCGCCCTCGTACTCGCCTGCAATAATGAGACCAGCCAAACGATCACTGACGCGGTTGAGGTAGTGCTGGACATCAAGCTTTCTATTGAAAGAATCCTCGATTAGTTGGACGAGGCGGGGTAGATCAATTTGCGGATCATTAAGTGTCATCTGGGATTCCCCGTTTATTGGAGGTTTCCAGATGTGCACTCGTGGGTCGGGAAACATTGTCAAGGGCATCCCCTTTTTAACAAACGTCGAATGCGTTACGGGGATGGTATGGTAGGGTGAAGAACCGTTATTGGCGCCTAACCTTCCAGCTGGAAGAGAAGCGGAGTGGCTGGGCTTATCTGTCAGCAGGTTGTGGATCAAGGGGTTCCGCTGCCGTCGGGTCGCAACTGTTGATAACTGTGATGGGTCTCGGGATGAGCTTGCTGAGTTCGCTGCATCTTGGGGGGTTGTGATAATGCCGGACGATGATGGCGGGAGGTATGTAAGCGCGCTATGTAGAAGTTTTAAATTGTCGAGATGCGTCTCAAGGTCAGCAGTGCGAATATTAGATCGATCACTGACGGTAGCCTCTTGCCCACGAGGTAAAGACACAACTTCCCTCTCTACAAATGTTGAAAATGGATTAGATCTCGCCAGCGACGATACTTGCTGCTGTCTTCCATTTTTATCATCTGGATCTAGGGAATCGTCCGCTAGCATTCCTTCTTGTAGCTCGTCTCTAATCTCCTCAAATTCCTGCTCCAAGTTCACGAAAACGTGCGATTTCGAAGGTCTTTTGAGGGACGGGATACCTCCAGCAGGATCCAAAATAATAAGCCTATCGACGGAGACTTCTTCTTGGAGCTGAGAAATCCTCCGAGCCAGTTCATGAGGGTTGTCATCGGGGCGTGCTTTGACACTCAATCCCGTAAATTCCTTGGTTAATGCCAATACAACGTCATCTGCAAGAACAGGTCCCGCTCGAAGCGTATTTTCCGTGTAGCCAATAGGCGGAATCACTACAATTCTGCCCCGACGCAGAGGAGAAAGAATCAACTCCCTAGACGGTACTGAAAGCACATGTTTAGAAGAAGACGCTACGCGTATCACATCGTCTAGTCGTCGAGAGTCCAAGTCATTATTTGCGTCAATAGCCGCTAGCATACGATCGGCCTGTTCAATTGACCGGCTCCTCCAGGATGGGTCACTTTGGGGTAAGCCGGGGTCAATTACGACGCAGCAGCCCATTCCAAGTAAGGAAAGTTGTGACAATGTCCGCCCAACCTCTCCAAGCGTTTGGTCGTTTAGGAATTGGGGCTCACGAATTTTAACCAGAGCGATGTGTAGCCGTTCCTCTGACGCCGCTGCCATTGGCGGTGATAATTCCGGTGTAGCTTCCTGTCGAAATACCGGATGATTATCCACCGCTCTTGCCATACCAAACATCCCTCCCCCTAAATTCACCCCTGACTGAACAAAATTGGTAGAGACATAGTCCACACCTCGCTTTTCTGGTAGGCGTTTCGCAGGCGCTGGTTTTTCAACTTTGAAGCGGGAGAGATACGATTTAGCTTCTCGTTTCGTCGATGCAGAGCTTAGCAGACTGAAAAAGAAATCCTGCCCCAAGAAAAAAATTAGATCAATCGATCATTTTTCCGCGTGGACAATGGCAATAACAATGCATACTTTATCCGCTAGCTTCTCCTTCGCGGTGCGGCCCAGCTGTTTCTGATATTCATTTGGTTCTAGGGACGTAACACCATTCTGCCGCTGGACCGAGGATGTGGACGAGAAACGTCCTTGCGGGGCCGAGAAACATGGTTTTTTTATAGGAGGATAGCAGGGGCAGGTAGGGATGCCGATTCGCTCATACTGTGGGCGTGAAAACAACGGTGATATTAGCATCAGAATTGGCATTAGAAAAGTATAGGTGGCCCACGTACACGTACGTACCTTGTGGAGGAGAAATCGTGACCCTCGAGGCCAATCCAACGCTGCCGCTCGGCTCATGGTGCATGATTTGTGGGCGCGGATGGTATAACTAAGCAAGCAGAATGGTTGAGCCACCGCCCACTCAGGTCATCGGTCTAGGAAGCTCAATGTAAGCTGGGCCATCCTCGCCGTGAAAAGGGAGCGGGAAATATAAAAGGGCCCCGGGCACAGTGGGGGAAACTCTGTTGTCTGAGTCAGTTTGGTGACGCAAGGTTTGAGTAATGGAGCAGCAATCTGCGAAGTTTGTTATTTCCACCGTTGCTCCGGGCCCTTTGCCACCGCCGAATCGGGATAGGCGATAGGCGCCGAGATTATCTTATGGATCAGATAAGATTACAGGGGCGCACGAGATTGGCTCTGAGTATTCTAGCGCCGGCGCCAAAATGGGACATTCTCGGACCGTCCATGATTAGTATAAACAGTACGGAGTAAACAGGCATTATTATACTATCTCTCTTTTTCTGCTAGGGACTATTAAGCTTTGCTAGCTAACTATTTCCCAGGTTTATATCATTCATTGCCCATATCATCAGGTTCGTCGAATCACCCAACAGAAATGAAGACTCATCAAATAGTCTTCCGCGTTTGCACCATCAGGACGCGTATCAGGAATCAAGGGGTCTGAGGGCTTGATATAGCGCCCCACAGAATTCCACGAGGCGGGTAAGGCGTAAGAGCGGACTGACACCCTTGATCATTATTTACCTAGAGAGGATCAACTATTTTTGGTTTATCATCCTGTTTTCTTTTTCTTTTTTTTTCTTTTTCTTTTTTTTTTCTTTTACTCACCGCAGCACCGGTTTCCTCTAGCCTATTTGCTTCTTTCTGCGGGCGTGATAGATATGGAGGACAAAATTCAGCCCATCAGTATCACTGTAGCTCCTTTCGTGACCCTGTCATGGATAGTTAGTCATCGGATTCCGCTACTACGTGCGGTGCGGCTAACCATGACCCGTTGGGTTGCTAACGACTTCATCGCGGTCTTACCTATGGTAAGTTGGACTGCATCCCTAGCACCGATCCGATACATATATATACTACGTCCATCTACGGAAGCATAGCTTTGTCGCTCTTGTGTGCATAGCTAATTATCCACCCGTGATTCCTCAGTTGGCGTTCTCCGCGTTTGTTGGCTCGCTCATTCAACGACCCAGGGCTAGGCAAACACAACGGAGATAGAATCAGTCAGAAATGCATTCAAGATCCGATATACGAACCTCAAGACGGCACAGCATTCATGAGATGACATCGTTAACATTTGATATAGAGTTTCTTTATCGCCAATCTTTTTTATATCATGGCTTCAGGGCTCGTGAAAATCTCGTTTTGTTTATTCTTATTACGAGTAGTTGTCATCGGACGAGCTTATATCTACACGATAATATGCGGTCGGTGCGATTACGACCATCTTCACAACTTTCTACTGGTTCTCCAGCCTGCTCACTCGCTTGCCGGTCAGCTTTTTGTGGGAGCAGCTCCTAAGACCACCTAACGAAGGAACATGCCGGCAATATCGCACAGTCATTTCCGGAAGCTACGCACACAGTTCAATTATTTGTCTGGGTGATATAACGCTTACAATTGTCGCTGCTTCGATGTTACGGAAATTAAATTTGAGCCACCGCGCTAAGGTATTCGCCAGCTTGCTACTGGTTTTGGAGCAATGTAAGCTTCTGACTATATACCTAGAATATGCTCGATATTCTAACGAATCACTACAGAGCGAGTGTTGCCACGATAGACTCGCGTATGTCCACAATGGGTATGATGCGGTAACCTCAATTTTTACCAACTCCGAATTAGTGATCTGGTGCGCTGTCGAGGTAGGGGTCAGCATCATAGCCGTATCTGCTGTGACGCTCAAGCCACTGCTGGTGAAAGACAAGATCCTTTTCCACCTTCGCCATTTCCCCGAAGACGTATCAACGGAACCGGTGATGAGAATTTCACGTGCTCCATTGGCACCGGACCAAAACGGAAAACTCATCAGAATCACCTACAAAATTCCTCCGGCCACAGAAAGATTAGTTCCTCTATGTTAAGGGCTGATGTCATAATGAGCCGGTTATCGTCTGAGGAAGTTATATGGGCATCAAAGGGCGGCGAGGGTGACCGGCCGATAAATACCAGTGAGGGGATCGCGAAGGATTTGGAAATGATCCCGACAGGAAAGATACACAAAGTCGTCGAGTTTTCGACATCGAGAGCCACAAAGAAGCCGGACGACGAACCCACGCTGATTCACCCGCAGGGGTAGACTGCGCGGCGGTGATGAACATGTACTTGTGCCTTAATATTCACAGTTCATCGGCATTGTACTGTTACATGTTGATGGGTGTAAACGGAAGTAGTATCCGACCGTGGCTTGGCCGCCTGAGTGGTATCGCAATATCAAAAGAGATCAACAGAACAACGATCGCTGTCTCCTGTGCCGAAAAGTTCCAATCACTCCGATATAGCCAAGCAGCTGGCTGCCCTGGGGGGTTATATCTTCGAACAGTTGCTCGTCAGCTTCCACCATTCACTCTTCAACTGCTGAACAGCTTCCAAAAACTGAGCTGTTTGTGAATAACCGTGACCCATTGATGAACGTGATGGTCGCTACAACCGTGCAACGCAAAACAAAGCCAACCCCAAACAATTATAACACACTAGAGATGGCAAGGATGTATATATTGTATTACGGAAATGGGGAGTTACCGGCGCATATACGGGTGCGGGAGGGATTTATTGGCATTTTTTGCTGCACCATGATATGACCGTACCAGCTCCATTACTTCGACCCGACAGATATTATTTAATTGATTCGTTTCATTTCCTTGCGTCATTTTCTTTTGTAGATCCTCCCTTTTCCTGCCTTTCCCCCCAAAGCTCTATCATTCGCTTGTATCTACTTTGTTCAAGATATAAACGAAACGGGAAAAAAAAAGAGAAACAAATAAATCAGGGAGGGGAAAGTTAACGCCACGAATTGATGTGGGGCGAGAAGGAGGGGAAAAAAATATGGAACAATATGAGATAAAGGACATTTGAAAGGCACTGGAAGCGAAATAGGGGGAAGAAAATTAACAACCAAGATGAGAGAACCAAAGTTAACTACATAAAGGTGTAAATGATCAAAGGATAAAAACAGCAGTAAAATTTTAGATTGTTATTAACGCCGCTGATACTGACAAATCTCCGATCAGGTATCGAAAATGCTATACATCAGACACCATCATGATACAACCCGCTTTAAACGTTGGAACCTCGCTTTCCACCTCTGTGATTATATACTGCACGTAGTCGGCGTGCCACACCTCCGCGATACGGAATCGTATGCCATCCGCCCAGGGGCATGGCCACTACAAAGATCGCTCAATCTTAGCCCGCAAATCGCGACATACCTGGACCGACTCGTCATCCAAACCGCTCTGCTGCAACAGCAGTAACATTTCCGATACGCGGGTAGCAAAGGCATCGCTGCCAAACGCGCCCGTTCCGACGCGCAATGATTCCTGGAACCAGCGGGCAATCAGGTATAGCAGATCGCGTCCGATATACCGTCTATTCTTTCCATGGAAAGGCACTTCGTCATTGTAGAAGAGCGATTCGAGAACAGTGTAGATGAGTTCGTGGGAAACTTGCAGATCGAGAAAGAGGTCTACGATCCAGCTGTCTGGGCCAACGCCAAGCTGCTGTTCGAGTACGTAGCGCTCGAGCATTGGTAGTAGCAGGTGGACTGGGAAGGTAGTGTCTGACATCCTGAGGCGGCCGGAAAGACCTCGGATCTTTTCAATGACGGCCTCGTAGGGGAGGGGTGCGCCTTTTGCTGAAGCCTCCTCGTGGACTTCTTGGATTAGGTTATGCCAGCATGCCTTGATGTCAGAAGCATTGCGGTAGTTGGCGAGATGCATGATTTGTAGACAGATATCGTAGTAACCGCCGGGATCAGCATACATGTTATAAAGCTGGAATGTGCGATATGTGTTAGCAACTTCACAATTGTTAGAACCAGTGTTTGGTGAGTTCAACCATACCTTATTGAGTTCCATGATCTCGCCGTTCACCTCCTGCAGGACGGTAGCTTTACGATCAGGTTCAATCCTAGTCTCCTCCTTGAGCCTCTGTAGAAGGTCATCTTGCACATTGGCCACATCAATCAACGTCGAAATCTCTTGATGCAGCCTTTGCCTCGACGCCCGTGACACATTCGGCGTAAAAACTGATGCATTTGCCCTAGCTTGGCCGAGATACTCAATCCGCCGACTTAGTGGGAGTGAGAATGAGCTCTGGGCAAGCTGTAGTTGAACGGATGCAGCATCGTAAAATCGATTTGACTGTCCATAATACCTCCATAGTAGATCCGCATGTGATATGTCTTCAGTTGACTTTCTTTGAAGATAGGTCACGACGAAAGGAGTCTGGACTTCAAGAAGTCGTTCACTCCAACCTCGCTCCAAGTACCAATCATACAAACTAGTGAGGAACACCTCATCCTCGCATTTTGAGATCACATCATAAGCTTCATTTTTTCTTCGTGCCACAGCAGTGTACTGCCCATCCACGAAACCGGGATCTTGACCCGAAAGTTCGTCGACTGCGAGAATAATTCTGTATATTAGGTCATAGCACTGTTGGCGCACTTCGTAACTAGCCTGCCGGGGATCCTATGTCACATCAACGTTAGACAAAAGCAAACTTACGAACAGTATTGGGGAAATACCTCTGGTGGGCGACCATCCATAATCCAAGAAAGCGCACGATTTGCCTTGTCAGAATGGGCCGCAACGCTAAGGCACAGTTGTATTGCACCTACAAAAACTTAAATCAGATCTTCGATCCTTTAGTAAAAGGCCGGTCAATGATACATACCGGCAAAGAATTGGTTCTGGATATATTGCTCCACCGCAGACTGGAGGTAGTCCATGGACAGATTCTCGGAGACTTGGCGGAAGAGGATTAAACTCTCATTAAGTAAATTGCGGCCCAATTCAGAGTTTCCCCCGGCTTCAGCCGCTCTTTTTAGTTGCTCCTGAGCTTTGAAAATAACGACATCTTCTGCGCTGCAGAAAGTGCCACATCTTCGCCGCAGAGCTTCCGCAACCGTCTCAACGTTGGAGCCCTTAGCAATATTCCGATTCACGATAGACTTAACAAGCTCTTTCGCAACTTCATGGCCCTTGTTGCTACTGAATAACTCTTCAAATGTGAGAGTTAAAAAGCGCTGCTTCGTTTCCTCAGGTAATAAAGCGATGATCTCGTCAACCCGCTCATCGAACAGGACCAGAACAAATGAAATACCTTCGATTGTATCAGAAACAAGTTGAACCATAGCATGCAAAGCACGATGCTCGCCTTGCAGCGCAATCTCGTCCTGTTTAGTAACAACTCGTGAGAGAGCTTCCGGTCCACTCAATCCCTCGATGAAGGACTTATTTGTCCGGAAGAAGTCCTGAAGGGCAGACAAATCTCTCTGAATCGAATGCAATTTTGAAGTATCGATGGATGGAGAAATGGTGACACCTCCCGCCGGGGTCCGATTTTGCGTGGCAATTACTGTTTTCCATATGGACCTCAAGAGACGTGAGGTATAGAGAGCAATACCAGCATGGCGCGGCGAGGGGATGACAGCGTCAATCGCGGGAGTGGAATTGTCGGCAACTGCATTCTCATTAAAGGTCGGCTTTCCCCCAAACTCAATAAACACCTTTCGCGCAAATTCAAGGACGTCGGGGTCATTTATCTTCGAAAGACGAGAATCCGCAGACAGTTCCACTCCCTGACCACAGGCAACAGCTAAAGCGGTCGCCAGCGTCTCACTGCGGCCGTACAGTCGTATCAGTGTTTTTACCTGACTCTCCAGTCCCTCTTCTCCACCAGCGTTCCGTATTAGCGAAGCAAAGACATCTACTATTCGCCGCCTGCGAATAACGTGAACTCCAGTATTGGTCAACACCGCAATTTCCGCTGTAGGCTTGTCGAATTGAACGGCGAGCTCATTTCCAAAACCTCCTTGCGGCTGCGTAGCGAATTCTGGTGTGCATAGCCCAATGTCTTCTGCTCGACTGCCAAGGGTTAGCCACATCGCGGTTTCGCCAGGTTTAATCGGGAGTGCGCTCTCTTGTGGTCGCGCAAGGCGGCCAGAGTCGGGAGTTGAGATAAAAAGGGTGTCTGCTCTATTCGTGGGGTCTTTTGACGTAAAACAGAAAAAGTAGCCAGGGGGGAATCGTCGGGCGGATCTAGTAGGGTCAAGCGAGTGGATGGCGAGTTTGGCTCCGAATGAGGCCTGATATGGCGATCCAGCAACAGGAGGCCCTTGAGGTAATTGGCTTGCAGTGATGTCAGAAGGCGGTGTCTTCACATGATGAGCTTGCATGCTGGTCGGAGCATTGGTTGCAGTTGGAGTTGCAGACCAGCTATATGACCCTGTAGCGCTAAGATATATTCTATAGCCAGTAGCGGTTACTGCCATCAGATGATACCTAGAAGCCTCCGCAGCTGGGATAGGGCTGATAGAGACTATTTTGATCCTGGGGTTGAGTGTTTCGTTGGAGCTAATAATATGTCCAATGTTCGAGTAGATATCGATAGCATGTTTTGTAATGGTAAGATTGATAGTTCCATCGGGCTTCAGGTGAAATACACGGATTGTCGAGTTCGAAGAAAGCGTGTATAACAAGTTTCGGCTATCATCAACTACCATTTGCTCAACAAACTCCATCGGTTTATGGCTGAGAATAATTGACGGGGTGAAGGCAGCAAAACTCTTGCTCGTATGGTTCACTTTCCCGCAGCGGCCCTGGAACCACCTCTCTTCCTGTTGATACATGAGCTCATAAACGTCGTTATCAGCCGACCCCGCAAAAAATATCCTTCCAGTAGAGTTTGATGATGCAATAACATTGATGTCCAACCCTCGAATCGACGTTGCCATTCCAGTTTGATAGAGTGTCACTGTCTTTGTTCCTGAAGCAGACGTCTCACATCCCAAGCCCAATAACAACATCTCCGCAGTGGTAGAAAGAACAAGGATGTGTGAGATTGACGGGAGGAAGACACCTGCGCGAGGGTGGGCTAGCTTGACCGCGTTGATGCTATTTGGCTGGCTCTCAAATCCCACCAACTGCGGGTTTGGATGGGTGTAATCCCAGAGATATAGGGCATTGTCAATCGTAACCCACGCATGGTTCAGCTCCGCAAAAAGCCCCATGCTTGTCGCTACCTGTGCTCGATTGTATTGATCGAATATTTGGTCCGGTATATTGTACATCTTAACTTTTTGAAACGGCGCCCAGGACGCCGACGTGGGAATATCATAATCGGAAGAAAAACCCTCTATATACATCCTCTAAGATTAGACTTCTAAACCATGTCATTAGGAGTTTTTGCCTATACATACGGGATAAATAGCTGTCTAGATCTGGGTATCGTGACTCCTGCGCCAAAGCCTCATCTATGGTCCGCGCCGCTCGTTGTCGTGGGTTCAGGGTTTCCGCTCTGCTCTTGACCGCCATCACGGGGAGTCTTGCACGAAGGGGCTGGGGCGGAGGTGCGGCGGCAGTCGCAGGTTGGCCTCCGGCACCAGACAAGGTAGAGGACTGAAAAAGAGGTCCATTAAAATTAGGCGGAGCTGGGGTCTGAAAATAGGAGCCTGGTAGAGGTCTTTGAGGAGTAAGGGGTTGAAAGGTCATCGTTTCAACATGCGTGGGCGCATGAAGCTGGTAAACGCACGCCCTGCTCTGGTGAAAAGTCGCGCACCCGTGGATGCGGCACCGCGGATAGGGCAGAATAACGGCAGCAATAAAGTAAGATATTTAGATAGACCAATGCTGGCCACCTCGGGGGAGACGTGTAGAGAGAGCAGCGTGGAGAGAACACAAGCCAGCCTTCGCCGAAGCTTCGTCAAAACAAAAAAAGAGGCAGCGGGTGCACGGACCAGCAGCCAGCCATCCGCGACTTAAATATTTAAATATTATATAAATTTATTTACTCCATACTCCGTACATGGTTAAATCGCTGTCGTTGTTTCAGCTATTTCACCAATTGCACAATAGAAACACCAGAAATCTCATTACAGCATAGCACATCTTGATTCTCTACATATCGCCCTTCGTAAATTCAGTCTCTTTTCTCTCACAATGTTCCGATCACTCAGATCCCGTCCCCAGCAGTGCCTTCGAGGCGTCGTCGTCCGACACAACTCTACAGCTGCTCCAACAGCACCGCCCTTGCTCTTTAAGATAAAATCAGATCTGAAGGATGCCATGAGGGCGAGGGACACCGCCAGGTACATAAATACTCAATAGCTTAAACCACGCCCCTCAGTTCTCCCTGCGATCACATGTGTTAACAAGCCCGCATTCGGGCCGTCTTTATAAATATAGACTCAACGTCCTCCGCGCCATAATATCAGAAACAAACAACGCCGCAAAGACCCCCTCGCCCATAAAAACTGACATCCAGCTCCTAAAGCTCTTAAACAAGCGCACCGCTGCGCTAAAGGATGCAAAGGGTGAATACCTAGAGGCGGGCCGAGCAGACTTGATCGAGAACGCGAATAAAGAACTAGAAGTTTTGGAGAGATACGCTAGCCAGGTGGAAACGATAAGCAATGAGGAGGTCCGAGCTGCTGTCTCGAGAGCTATTGAAAAAATGAAAAATTCCGGGGAAAAGATTGCTATAGGGACTGTCATAAAGGCGCTGGTGGGACCCGGGGGTTCGTTGGAAGGGAAACCAGTGCAGGTAGGGGAGATCTCGAAGATTGCGAAGGAGTTGATATCCTAGGGAGTGGGGGAAAATTATAGGGGAGTTACGTGTATATCACCACTATGTATGCGGAAAATTACGGGCGTTTGCTTTTCTTTTCTTTGTTTTTTCACTCTCCTTTCTTCTCCACTCCTTTCCTTTACCCCCCATCGGAGGGCGTGATTGGGGCGCAGATATGGGTGTACAATATGACTCGTGAAACGGGGGGGCCGGGGGAGCGTACGGGGTCAGCTTCTTTATCTGGCATCAGGTAGTATCGTCCGCCGGGTGTACATTTCAGTTACAGCTAGCTCGCACATCGATTTCTCCGAGATGGAAATGGTCCGTTCGCCCGCTATATATTGTTGCTATGATGAAATATAATGGAAGATTTTCCCCGTTTCCCCGTTTCCCCGTTTCCCCGTTTCCCCCTTGGAATTACATTTCTAGCCCTTCCCTGGTACAAGAAAATGAACGAGTACCGTCATAGCTCGGGATAATTTATGAGAGGTGAATGAATCAATTGAATACTCGGCCAATTTTCGAATTGTTTTTAGCAACGGGGTACGGCGGGCTTTAGGGGGTGTGAAATAACGGCACGACTCGATATAGTCAATATTAGTATCTATCACTTTGCATGAGAAAGCAGTAGGAGGGAGGAGGACTCTATAGGCCTGCTAGTACAAAAGCTGGACGACCAGCCTGATCATATAATAGATTTTAAACACTTATTGGTATCCCATTTTGCTCCCTCCTTAACGCCCAGTCTATCCCAAGATAGTCCCTCAACAGACTAGGCCCATTAAAAATATAAATGTAGCAGAAAGGGGCGATGAAGAAGATAAATGAGAATTAGAATCCATAAAAAAAAAAGAACGGGAATAATTAAAAAAAGGCAGAAGGAAGCAGAAAAAAGAGTATAGCACCGCACAAAAAGAAAAAAAGTACAACATGATATGCACTCATTTATAGATTAGGGCGATCCCTCCAATAGATGTCATGATTACCCCTATCCACCACACCTTATCACTGCTCGGTAGCCTATCCATTCTTGAATGGTAGAAGTAGTCAATCGTCTTGATGAATGGGCTCTTGTTTCTTGGCGGCTGGGCGACTTTAAATTCCCTTTCTATTTCTTCAGAGCCTTCGGTTCTTTTCGCTTTAGCTTTTCGTTCGCCAGCCGCTGTCGATCTTGCTGTAACAGCAGTCTTGGAGCGATCTGTCGGATTCAGCGTGTGTGTCGGGAGCATCTCTGGCGTACGTGCAGCGAGATACATGGGGATCAATGGTGAGCCGTCAAATCGGTATAGATTGAGGCGTTGGATCTTGTGAAACGGATCAAGTAGGACTTCGTATCTCTGCCGATTGATTGTTAGCGCAATTTATGCCAAGTCGTAAAAAAAAAAAAAAGATTTTCTTTTTCATATCTACCTCGAACAGCTCTTCTTGGATATATCGATAGTACTCTGCACTTTCGCTAATGCAAGGGTTCGAGACCAATTGGCGACCATCCGAGCTGAATGGGGTCAGGATGAGAGACCCATTACGTTCCACTCTATAGGTTCCATGTTGAAATTGCATTACCCCTTTTGAACATTCTGGACTGGTAGCTAATTAGATGCAGAAGAATCATACGTCAGCTCTATTCAAGGGGTAACTATAGATATAGAGGCGATAAATGGCCATGGCTATGTTGCGGTGCGGTGCGGTGACTAACCATCAGAAACTGCGCGGAAATATGCTTCTTCGAAGAATCCATCTTCGGAGAATGAATATGAGATTCCTGTATGCGACGGCTCCACGAATCTATCCTTTTGTGGATTGTAGAATCCCTTTTTTTTTGTTTGAACAAACAAACAACCGCAAATGGTCAGCAGGTAGCTCTGTTTCTGTTTCCTTTCTTTTTTCTTCCGCAAAAGGAAAGGAAAGGAAATCACAAATCTGTGCCAGCAATGATGTACGTACTCTGCCCGTCAAGACCTTCTGTGACTTGGTAGTCCAAGTGCCCGTTAGTTGCGGATCTACCGGACCTTGCGCGGTGACGACAGTGGGCAGGCAAAAGAACGAGATGAGGAAGAGAGACAACGTAGCCAACATCATGATTTCCGTCGCCGCACGCTGGGTTGGGACAAGAGGGGAGATGAGACGAGACGACGAAAGGGAAAAACGAAAGAAAGAAAGAAAGAAAGAAGGACGGAAAGTAACAAGGGAATTCCTCGAGAGTTCGCTGCGAAGATGAGAGGCGAGGAATCCGGTGTCGTTCGGTGCCGAAGATTGTCTGGAGCAGGTTCTACAAGTAACTCCTGATAGCGAAAGGCTGACGTATCCAGGAACACTGTGAACTCTCTCTGTTGTCGCATCCAGTATTTACGAAATCTACTTTTGGTCACTTTTTTTTTATTTTTTTATTTTATTTTTTTTATTTTTAGAATAGAACAGAATACGCAGCTGCTCGTGTAAATTGGGTATTTTCTTCGATCCCTCATTGGTTGTATAGTCATGCCAGCGGAAACTGGTATACTCCGTATGGTCCTCAAAATATATACCAGGAAGCATAACATCTATATGAAAAGACCCGTGGAGACCAAAGGCAGAGGCTCTATTCTTGATAGAGAGCATCAAGATCAACAAATCAAATTCGAACGGCGGCTAATCATTATTTTTAGTCAATAATGGCGTCCGTCCTAGTCTAGTGCCCTTAAATAGTTAGCGGGAAGGGAATGAATGCTAAGACCAGATTCGTATTCTGCAAGCTAATAAATATCCTATCTCCAACAGTTGCCACAGGGTATATACAGTGCAGTCTCTCAAACTCATAACGACTTACTGTAAGTAAAAAGGCCTGCAAAACACACTCACCCCGCTGTCCTCCTCCTCTTAGCTACCTCTAATTATTTAGACATTTCGGTAACCGCCGTGGTAGCTTGCTCAAACACCCCGATTTACGGAGTGTAATATATAACCATATGTCCTACAATGGCGTCTCTACAAACAGCCAAGAAGGAATTGCGAAGAAAGCTACGGAGGATCCTTTCAGAAGTATCCAAAGAGTCTGTGGCCGTGCAATGTTAGAATCCCCCGTTCACTCACCATTCTGTGCCGTTTATATCGCCATGATATTTACTTGATAATTATGTAACTATCAGCATCCATCGTCACGAGAAATCTACTTGCACTCCCTGAATACCATGCAGCCACTAAACTCAGTGTCTATCTCTCAATGCCCTCTGGCGAAATCTCAACCGCCGCTATTGTCCGTGATGCCTTCAGCAGAGGCAAGCAAGTATATGTCCCGTATCTCTATCAACCGGACCCAGCGGCGACCGCAAACCAGGGTCGTTCCTCGGTCATGGAAATGCTAGCGCTACGCTCCCTGGAAGACTACGAATCGCTACAGGCAGATAAATGGGGTATCCCGACACTAGATTCGAATACTATTGGCAGCAGGAGGAATTGTTTTGGTGGATATGGTATCCCTACGGGAGAAACGGCCCAAGCAGGTTCCACGATGACAGAGGCAGAATCAGAATCAACTGCAGCCGGTGACGACAGTTCAGGATTAGATTTGGTTGTTATGCCTGGAGTAGCCTTTGACGAACAACTGCAAAGACTGGGACACGGCAAAGGGTATTATGACCATTTCGTCAATCGATTGAAAAACATTAGGCAAAGCGGAGGAGAAGAAAGTAAAGCAGGCATGCGGAAACCACATCTCGGTAAGGAAACCATCCAACCCAACATATAATAATCATCTGAGAAATATTTATGGTCGCCCGTATATCAATCACTCGCTTGCTAATGGCTTTTTCCCACTCTTGCACGTCTCAGTCGCCTTGGCCCTGGCAGAGCAGCTTCTTCCCCCAGGAGAGAAGATACCCGTCGCCGATCATGACTATCCCGTGGATGCCCTCATCGTTGGAAACGGGCGCATTCTCACATCAAGCAGTTAGCAAAAAACTGAAGCGCTTGGATTCTCTTAATGGTGCCATAAAAACCAGGCCCCGTCTTCTTCGTTTTATTCTTAATTTTTTTTTTTGTGTGTGTCTGTATATCAGGTAGAACAGTAAATATATATCCTAACGCCTTTTTCCCCAAAGTCACCCTATAATTCTACCCCCCGCGTTGCCATTTCATTGAAGGGCCTGAATTAACGAAACATTGTCGCCTTTGAGTAAAATTTGACCTGGGGCGGTAGGTAAGCATTGTGGATACGGGAAGCAAGCGCATGAACAACAGATAGGTAATAACGCCATATCATACCAAGCTGTCTCCTCTTCTCCTCCTCTGTTTTCGTTGCCAAACGAACCTCGACCGCGTCATCGACAACTAGGTTCATGAACTCGTCGAATCCCTTTTGAACAAAACGTGAACGTATATTGTTAGCTTTTGATCAATTGCGACCCGTTATATATCAACAACGGGTAGGGGGGTAAATTATTCGTCGTGATAAAGAGCAAAGGAGAATACGAACCCGAATCTTCCCTTCTATCCGGATCGCCAGCTGTTCGTAGAGCCATATTGAAACCGTAGATCTTTGCTGGAGGAGCTTGAAGATGAAATGGATTGGAGCCAGAAGTGTCTTGCGACCTGCTCCTCCACCTCTGCCTGTCATTGCGCGTGGAAAGTTGGGGAAAATAGCTTCAGATATATGGTATGCTGTCAAGCGATAGAAGGGTGATAGAGTATTTAGTCCAAGCAGAGTCGTGAGTGAATTATCGGAAATGAGCCGTGTAAGCGACGTGAAGAGGGAGAATGCTCCGTGGTTGTGCTGGAGAAAAGCTGCTCACGGCGGTCGGTTGTTGCTGTGATGCCCATGCAGCTAAAATCTGCTCGCAGTTGTCTCTTGTCGCCCGCCAAACTCTTTTTTTTTTCTGCCTCCGGCAAACCAACCAACCGCTTCCCACCAACCAACTACAAACCTTCGTCACCAGCCGGCCCAACCCCCGTTTAATATGAAATATCCAGCACCCTTGATACTTCTGGTTTGAGCTGGTTTGATCCATGAGTTTGCTTAGTCGCTATCCATCCCCTCAGCCTGGCTGACCTGATCCAGCGTGTACATTGGTGCTCTACGCCCCTACCTACCAAGATCCCTCACTCCCCTCTAACATCCCACTATGGCAACCAAAGGAAACGGCGCGGGGCAGGCCTTTGCGCCTGTCCTGGCAGCTGTTGCTACGATGCAAGGCAATGTCCCTCGATCGGAAAAGACACATGCGCATGAGTTCCTTGAGAAATTCCAAAAATCCGTAAGAATACCATCGTTCCCACCTTTGCTTTCGGGTAAACACCGCCCTTGGCCTTGCTCTGACAACCACCCCGCCACATCTCTAGGTTGAAGCTTGGACGACTACGCATGCCCTATTACAGTCCCCAGAGATGCCCGTTGAAGCAAAGCTGTTCGCGGCGACCACACTAAAAGGAAAAGTAAGACCATGTACTGCACATCCCAGCGTTTGTTCGTGCTCTCTGCACTATGGTCGTGGTTCGCAACCACCGACCGCAACTCCACTAACCGATGATATTTCCCAATAGATCACTTATGACCTAGATCAACTACCGGCAGAGTCCGTTCCGGCTCTGAGAGACTCCATTCTCTCCCTCCTGGCGGCTTATAGCTCGGGACCAAAACCTATAAGGACCCAGCTGTGCGTTTGTTTAGCCAGCTTGGCTATCCAGATGACGGCGTGGAAGGATGTCCTCGCAACCGTGGGCTCAGCTCTGGGAAATGAGGCGGGAGATTCTGTTTTAGAATTCCTCAAAATTCTCCCCGAGGAGGTCACAGAAGGACGCAAAATCAACCTGACTGTATGTGCGGCCGAGTCACCATCTATGTCCATCCATCCAATCTCCGCCTTTATTGCGCAGCAAAAACTTATTCAGCTACGACATCACTCCCTTTCGGCCAGAGTCTAGAATCTAATCCATCATCATAACACTTAGGAAGAGGAACTTTCCACAAGGACGGCGGAACTATTGGAGAACAACGCGGATCGAGTTTTAAGTCTCCTGGTGCAATATGCGCAGTCGTCCGGTAAGAACCTTTGTTCTCTCCTCCTGCCCACTCCGTTTTCCCGTGTCGCCGCTTTGTTGCGCGTGAACTGCTGACTAAATATCTTAACAGAGTCTGCCGCAACAAACCCACAACTACTGGAGTGCATTACCTCATGGATGCGTGAAATTCCATCTTCGCAAATCGTCGTCTCTCCCCTTCTGGACACAATTTTCAAAGGCCTTTCTAATGACCGGTCTTTCGAAGCTGCTGTGGATGCGATATGTACAATCTATAGGGACACGCTCGAGGTTGACGAGGCAATGCCTATCATCCAAAAGCTGTATCCAAGGATAATTGCGTTGAGGCCCAAAATTAGGGAGGCCGCGGAGGCAGAGGACCATGAAACGCTCAGAGGATTAACCAGGCTATTTGCCGAAGCTGGTGAAGCATGGGTGGTCCTGATTGCCCGTTTGCCCATCGAGTTTAGAAGTCTAGTCGAAGCAGTTCTAGAATGCTGTGCTGTCGACAAGGAGCGGGAATCTATTTCCATCACCTTTGCCTTTTGGTACGAGCTTAAGCAATACTTAACGCTTGAACGATACATGGGAGCGAGAACAGAGCTTGCGGATCTATTCTCGAAGCTGGTTGATATCATGATCAAACATCTGGAATTCCCCTCACCAGACGACGACCAGGCCGACCTATTCGATGGAGATCGCGAGCAGGAAGAAAGATTCCGCGAGTTCCGCCACGCTATGGGCGATGTTCTTAAAGATTGCTGTGCTGTTATCGGCGTTACGGAATGCCTCGGGAAATCATATAGCTTGATCCAAGCCTGGGTCGCTAAATATGCGTCGCAAGCTACACATGATCATGTACCACATTGGCAAGAGCTAGAGGCGCCGCTCTTCAGTATGAGAGCGATGGGGCGGATGGTCGAGCCTGAAGAGAGCTCAGTATTACCGCAAATCATCCCTCTCATCGTCCAAATACCCGATCAAGAGAAAGTGCGGTTCCAGGCCATCATGGCCCTTGGTCGGTATACAGAATGGACCGCTCAACACCCCGAAACCCTCGAAGCCCAATTAAACTATGTTATTTCCGGTTTCCAACACAAATCTCAGGAGGTCGTTCAGGCGGCCGCCCTCGCATTCAAGTTCCTTGGCACCGATTGTCAGAAACTGCTTGGCGGTCACATCCCCCAGTTACATTCCTTCTATGAATCAGTCATCGACAACCTAAAGCCGTCGAGCCAGGAAGAAGTTACGGAGGGTGTAGCTGCAGTAGTTGCTGTTCAGCCAGTTGACAAAATATATGAAACTCTAAAATTATTCTGTGATCCGATTATGAATAGAATCATGAATCTCGCCAACCAGGCTAAGGATGATGCTGGCCAGAAGGCGGTTGCCGGTAAGTTGTGCCGTGTTAATTTTCACTCCTATGATAACGTACGACTGATTTTCACCCCCTACAGATCATCTCCAGCTGATCACCATATTCATCCAAATTGTTTCTCCCTATGTCGGACCTGGAACTCAGAATCCCGGCGTCAGATACTGCGAGGAGATCCTTCCTGTTTTAAATACCATCGTGTTGAATTTCACAAAGTCCGTTCCCATACTGGAGCGAGTATGCCGATGCTGGCGCCATATGATCATATCCTACCGAAACGCCATGACACCTCTCCTACCAAGTTTGGCGCAGAGCATCTCTGCAGGCTTTGAAGCATCCAAAGAAGGTTGCTTTCTGTGGGCTACGGATGCAGTCATTCGAGAATTCTCCGACGGAGCTGAGTATGTCGAACAAGCGACAAGTGACGCCGTATATCAATTCTTCGAGCAACAAGTTGTGCACTTCCTCAGAATTCTGAATGACCTGCCTCCGAATCACGTCCCCGATGGTAAGATTTTCCCCTACATAGCATGGCTCTTTCATCGCTAAATTTGCCATACGTATCCTAACCATTATATTTGATTTTTTTTTTTTTTAAAAAAAAAAATAGTGATTGAAGATTTCTTCCGCCTCCTGACCGACGCAGTCCGCTATTATCCCAAAAAATCCCTAACCTCCCCGCTAGCAGCACCCATTTTCTCCGCGTCGCTGAGCGCACTCACACTTCAGCAAGTAGATCCATTAACAGCAGTTCTTCACTACTGTCGGGACGTCCTCAGCTTCGGCACAGACAAGCCATCGGTATCTGAATTCACAGGACCGGATGGCGAGCCATTCACGAACACACCCGAAGTGCAAGCCGCCGTGAAACAATTGGTAACGTCACAGGGTGCGATTCTCGTCCAGAGAGTGTTGACGGGGATGATGTTCAGTTTCCCCGGAGACTGTTTCCCCGATGCCTCGGGGGTTCTGATGTCGCTATTTGAACTGATGCCCCAAGAGACGGCGAGGTGGGTAGAAGCGACCGTGCACATGCTCCCCGCTAGGACGCTGAAGCCCGGCGAAAGCGAAAGGCTTATGAAGACGTTGTCTGAGAAGATTCATCAGGGTGATATTCGGAAGACAAGGGTTGTTCTGCAAGGTTCGTATTTTTCATCCCTTTATCATTGATTTTGTTTTATTTTTATTCACTTATTTTTTGAATCGCACATGGTGAATTATATCCAAGGCTTTATATCTGATCTCCCGTCTCTTACAGACTTCACAAATTCGTATCGAAGGAGAAATGTAGCCCCCCGGGAAGGTCTGGGGAGGCTAGAAGCGACCCGCTTCAAATTCAGCGGCTAGTTCCTTTTTATGATTGTCATTTATTTTCTTCAATCTATCTACCTAGCAACAGCCACAGACACGAAAATTAAAGAAAACCAGCAGCTGCGATAATGCTTGTAAAGAAAACCATGAGATTTTGATGTTATATCGTACCATCAATATCGCTCGCATGAGCGCCAGATCCTTCATCTTTTATCTTCCACCATCCATCCCATTTTCCCCATTTTCGTCCTACTCGCTTCCCATTTCCTCAACCTTTGTTTATTTTGGGTCCGTTGTCAATATTCATAGCGGTGTATTCTTTATCCTATATTTGCTTGGTTTCCCTTTTCCTTTGTTTTCCTTCCCAAATTAAGTTGTACGTAGTAGAAACGGACGGATAAGGTGTGAAAGTAGGACGTTTTAATTGGTGGGCTTAAAAAAAAAAAAAAAAAAAAAAAAAAAAACTCAACGTCCAAAAGCGACATAAGAGAAGAGGGGGAAACGAAAACGATTATACAAAAACGCATTGCTGTGGATTGGCTGGTTGAATTGGGATGGGGGTTAGCATGGGATGGGATTGAGATTGAGCTGTTGAGAAGAGAGAGGAAAGGATATGTTGATACCAGACATGGTGCGAAAACTAACTAACGGGTTGGGGCTAAGTAAATGGGATGATATGATGACTCTAGGATGGATGCTGAGATGAAATCATGCAAAATGAATATTTTGGACATTTTGACGATTATTTGAGAAATTTTTTCTACTGATGGTGGGTGGGCTAGTGCTTTGGGGAAATTTTCCTTACTTTTCATTATTGATATTGCTGGTGTTTGTTTCACTTGTTGGTGGTTGATAGGTGGTGTTATCCATGGATCCTTGCGAGGCGATCTGTGTGATCGGATCAAGATTGCTCTATACGCGAATGAGTTTCATACTCAAGAAACGAGCCTAGTCCTCTCATCCTTATTATGAAGGATTAATATCTTTTTTACATGATTTGATCGATGGCTTGACTTATAACTACCAGATGCATTTAACATATAAAATCCTAGCGACGACTCTCCAATAACACCCACCCTAACAGGCTACGAGAAGGGAGAATCTCATCCTCAACCGCTGAGGGGCTTCTACAGTATCTCTGCTGGTCCGTCGTATAGACAGAAAGGAAGGAAATAAAGCCTCTCACACGTTCCCTTCAGCATTCTTTCCCAATCTGCACTATATTAGGCCATCTGAAACCCTGAATTTGAACGTGATATCATGGAAATAGTTCAGCAGCATTACTTATCTATGAACATAATTCTTTTATAGATCATAACTTTTTTTGGAGAGCCGGGGGGGCGGTAGAACACGGTTGCGTATATCTTGACTCACACGGGGAACAAACAACCTGAACCATATGAGAAATTAGAATCAACATGCTAGCATAAATGAAAAGATAATGTGACTGTCAAAGAAAGACAATTGATTGTGTTCACCTAGGGAATTGTAAGAGTTGCGAGACCGTAGGGAGACCAATAGGGAGAAGAACGCTGTCCATTCCATGTATGAATAATGATGTTGTGAAGCTGTGGTTCTACGCTATAGGGCCACCAATCATTTTACCCGAATTTATAACTAGGCACGCTAGATCATTATAGGAAATTGCGCCGTCCAAGCCCTAACTTATTTCTTCCCGATATAAAACTTGCCTGTCCTGTCTACGGAGTAGTTACTCCGTACACAGTACTCCGTAGTAAGAACGGAGCAGGTCAACCAACCACCGGGTTCGGTTCAGGTCAAATACGGCGCCCTTGTTACAAGGTTGTTGTTGTCCAGCCGGAGTCTATTATGATTCTCCATTTTTGGTGACCCAGTCTAAAACACTTCATTGACATGGTTTATGATCAATACGCGCGCTGATTTCGACGCTCCTCCCTTTCCCCCACCTCCTCTCCCCCCCGGGCCAAAATGGCGGGGACGAGGATGCATGGGGGGGGGGGGGGGGGGGGGGGGGGGGGGGGGGGCCCCCCCCCCCCCGAAAAAAAAAAAAAAAAATAAAAAAAAAAAATCCCCCGGTTTTTTTGGGGGGGGAAAAAAAA